GTAATTGTAATGTTAACGCGTAAGCTGCTCAAATGCACTGTGCATTGCATTGCTCTCGCTCTCTCTGTCTCACACACACACTCTTCCTTAGTAGTAACATCTGTGCTTTGGCCTACATTTGCAATGTGATATAATCAGGGCGCGCTAAAGCTAACACAGCTAACAGCTAACACAGCTAACAGCTAACAAAACGGGCGCGGACACACGAACGCTCCACAAGTATTCAGGATTCGGAGGCTCACAGCAAAACATAAATGCCAGAAGCTCTGTCAATTAGGCACAGACACACATACACATACACACACATACGCACACGAAGGTACGTAGTTAAATAGAGAGGGAGAGCGGCCGAGTGAGCATGCTGAAAACTTGGACAAGGTTGCAATTGGTTCGCTTTCATTTTCATTTGGTTCGCTCCGCTATGCAGCAGTTGATTAAAGCACAGCAGCGTATTGTGTAAACATTTATTTTGAATCAATCCTTTGAATTAATTGGCTTTATTTGTCAAACTGCAGCAAAAAGTCTCAAATCAGAGTGCTCAACTAAATTGCGCTGAAAGCTATGCTATAAAAACACAAAAACTAAATAAAATGAATTATTTTGTTATCTTGAATGTTAATCTTTAAAAAATTCAAACATTTTTGTTTATAATTTTTCTATAATTCAAATCCAAAAATCGTTAATACATCATTTTTATAAATAAAAAAATAATAACATCAATGAGCATTGCAATTCTACGTGCAGCAGCAGTTCTCTCTCTCTCCCTTTTATGCTCTCAGCACAGCATTGCCAGCTGTAAGAAAAGCTCACATTTACATTTTACCCCAAAATGTTAACAGACGCGTGTTCATTAAATGAATGGCCCAAGCAAAACATTATTTACTAAATGCAAGTTACTTAATTTTGAAATTTATTCATACATAAAGAAAGATATTGTATAAATGAATTGCTTGACACTTACATATTGCCAAATATAATTAGGTTTCTATTAAAGAGCGATATAATTAACATATAGGTCATGTCCACAACGCTGCTAAGTCGTTCACTAATTCATAAATATACATATATATATATTTATGTATATATGTGTGTGAAACTGTTACTGTTAATTTGCCTACCAAAAAAAAACAGCATCACTAAACACATAGATCACATTGAGCATAAACATCAACAAAAACAAAATATGTAAGGTAAACGTAAAAACGGTGGACATTAACAAAAGCTACATGTGCGCATCCAGTAGGGTGTATTACAGTTATTTGGGTCAAAGCTATTCACTCAGCCGCAAAGCAAAGCAAAACGAAACGAAATGAAGAAACTGCATAAAACATGCATACACACATACACAATCGCGAACATTGATATACGCACACACACATAAAATGCTTAACGGGGGCTTAGCCCCAAAGCTAACGCAGCTCAGCGACTAAGTTGAAAACAAATGAGCGGAGAGTAAAGTCAGGCCGGAATTGGGAAACAACTGTAAATCGACATGATAGGTTCGGTTCGTAGTGGAGAAATGTTACTGTTACAGTTTTATGTTAGTAGTAATGGCAACAACAGCGAGTATGTACGTTTGTATGTTTGTATACGTGTATAATATTTTAATTCACAAGTAATGCATAACTGTGTGTGGGCCGGCACCTACCCACTTTTGGCATTTCGCATTTCGCTTAGCCCGCAAGAAATCTCACTTACCTCTCTGGCCATTACGACATGTCTCAAAAGCAGGGCCCGCTTAGAGGGTCTGCCATTTGCGTTGGCTTCAACAGCAGCAACAACACGTCCTCTGCTGCGTCGTTGTCGACGTGGTCGTTGGCGTTGTCGTCGCCGTCGCGTCTGTCGTCCTTTGGCGGTAGCGGCAGCGGCTAACAGGAACAGCAGCAACAACAACACCAACAACTGTGCACAGCTTACACTTCTTTTCGCGCATACGAGTCTCTGTGTTTGTATGTATGTCGGCGTATGTGTGTGAGTGTTTGTCTGTATGTATGTTCGCTGGGGAGAACGGCGGCAGTGGGCGGTTGGTTGGTTGGCCGTGTATGTGTCTGTGCGTGTGCGTGTGTATGTGTGTGGAGTGTGCTTCAAAAATTCTCTACTACACGTTTATTTTCAATCTTCCCGCAACGCGCCGATGCTGTGTGCTGCTGCTGCTTCTTCCTTTTGACGTTCCTTTTTGGCACGTTGCTTTCTCTCTCTCACTCTGGCTCTCTATGCCTTTTTTGTGGTATGTGTGTATGTAGGTGTGAGTGTACATACGTACATATGTTGGTTGGCTGGTTGGTTGATTCTGCGTGTGTATTGGTATTTGCCTTGTACAAATTGATTATTTATTTAAACAATTCTTTATTTAATTATCGCATGGGACGCTGCCACTCATTTCATATATTTTGTTTGATTTTATTTGCTGCCTACGTACACCTCTACACACACTATAATATACACACACACACTATCTCAATATATGTATGTACGTAGGTGCGGCTGCGATGTCGGCGAAGATTTGCTGTGGGCAGTGTTTGTGTGCGTGTGTGTGTACCGTTATCATTTTTATTCACATTAAACACACATTTTTGAATCCGATTTGCAATTAATCCCGTTTTCTTTTTGCTTAATATTTATTGTGCGGCTATTATATCAACAACAAAATTGGGCATACGAGCCAAAATCTTAAAGGCGCATACGCACACATATGTACATACAGGAGGACACGCTTAATCTCTTGCTTTGCTTCTATTTTCTAGTATTGGTAGAACCCACGCCTTTCGCTTAGCCACTTTTCACTTTATTCACACGAGCTGAGTATTTACGTTTTATTTGATGGCTCTCAAATGAATGCGAGTATAAATATTTTTTGTTCAAAACACGAAAACTAATATACTTTAATTACAAAACAAACACATTTTAACAGTCAAAAGCACAGAGCAAACACGCAAATCAATGCTCCACAGAGGCACAGTGCTAAAAACGGTAATTCATATCGTTGCTAAGCACTGGCTAACGTAACTTAACAACACTTAAAATAAATCGAGCAGCTTACACTATACTTAACAGAAATACTGCACACTTAAAAGAAATACCAAATGGTTGAATTCGTACTTTGTTTGAAATGAATGTCACAAACTATCAACAATAGTAATAACAAATATGTAAGGTTATACGAACTGTGAAACAAACATTAAAAGCTTTCATTGAAATTTTATTCAAATACTGATAGAATAGGTCAATAAAATAATTTGAGTAATTGAAATGTGTTATCGCAGCACTTTCGATAACATGCTATGAAAACTCAAGTCGATATATTATATTTATTTTGTCATCCCTAGACGGCAGCCAAAAACTTGCTTATAATTTTACACAAAATTACGTGTCTTGATTGGCATTTCACAATATGGTTGACAATCTGCCACCCCTGGAGCCCAGTCTGCAAAACTTGGTCGAACAGGAATCTCTCAAATGGATATTTGTAGGCGGTAAAGGCGGCGTGGGGAAAACAACTTGCAGGTGCGTGCCAGAGGCAGTCACCAACACCAACAACAACAGTTTTAATCCTCTGCAAATCCAATTAAACAATTACAGCTCCAGTTTGGCCGTGCAGTTGTCAAAAGTTCGCGAATCTGTGTTAATTATCTCCACAGATCCGGCACACAACATATCCGATGCGTTCGATCAAAAGTTCACCAAGGTGCCGACAAAGGTAAATGGATTTGATAATCTGTTCGCTATGGAAATCGACCCAAATGCAGGTCTCAGCGAGCTGCCCGACGAGTATTTCGATGGAGAGAACGAGGCGTTGCGAGTAAGCAAGGGTGTCATGCAGGAGATGATTAACGCTCTTCCGGGTATTGATGAGGCCATGAGCTATGCCGAGGTCATGAAGCTGGTGAAGGGCATGAATTTCTCTGTGGTTGTGTTTGATACGGCGCCCACGGGTCATACATTGCGACTCATCGCATTCCCGCAGGTCGTGGAGAAGGGTTTGGGCAAACTGTTGCGCCTAAAGATGAAGCTGGCACCACTCCTCACACAATTCGTTTCCATGCTAGGCATGGCCGATGTGAATGCGGACACGTTGTCACAAAAGTTGGATGACATGTTGCGTGTCATAACGCAGGTTAATGAACAGTTCAAGAATCCAGTAAGAATTATATTAATTAACATTATAAGCATATATCTAACGCCACATTCACTCTGTCATTAGGATCAAACGACCTTTGTTTGCGTTTGCATTGCCGAGTTTTTTTCGCTCTACGAAACAGAGCGCTTGGTGCAGGAGTTAACAAAATGCGGCATCGATGTGCACAACATAATTGTGAATCAATTGTTATTCCTGGGCAATTCACATAATAGTTGTAGCATGTGCGCATCACGTTTTAAGATCCAGGAAAAATATCTTGACCAGATTGCTGATTTATATGAGGACTTCCATGTTACTAAGCTGCCGTTGCTGGAGAAAGAGGTTCGCGGCCCGGATAGCATCAAATCATTTTCCGAGAACCTTATGATACCATACAAACCGAAAGAGTAGCCAATGCTGCTGGCTGTTCTAGTTGTAAGCATTTTGATGAACTTATTGTGTAAATGTGGTTGCAAGAAATAAAATAAAATCAGAATTATACTCTGGCTTATAAGCAATTTTGAATAGGGCGCCTACATAATATAAGTTTATCGATAAATTGATTAAAATACAAAATCTTATCAGGGTAACAATAACTTCAATCAATACGAGTATTAAAAGATCCACGGTTATTAAGTTGTATGCTTCCATCAAGTAATTTGGTCATGATTTGGTTTTAATCCACTCTTGAGATAAATCAAACTATTTTTAAAAGAATAGGTATTAAATATTAATTGATTATAATTATAATAGTAACCAATTTGAAAAATGCGCCCTTATACCCATTGATAACATAGAATCTTAGTAGAGTAACACTGAAACTCAAATTGATATCAGTACTTAGCTATCGATAGACATTAATTTGAATATTGATATCGTTCTCTTTAGTCATCACTAAGTTTTATTTTGCGTCGTTTTTACTGCACACAGCGCTTTCGTATTTTTGTTTTCTTCGTGTTGTTTTTTAATTGTCCTAGATAAATGTAACGCTGCCACTTATTTACACACATTTAATACTTTGGCTTATTAAAAATTTATAGCATATTTGCTTACTAGTCCTGCTACTGCTGCACACGCGCACAGATAACTTCAAGTATTTCTCAAGGATTTCTAGGACAACAACAACGAAGACTAACAGGTGAGTGAGTGAGTTAACTGTTAATTGAGCGCCAAAGTTTACTATGTTTATGTGTGTATGTGTGTAAGTGTAAGTGTGTGCGTGATGGTATGTGTATATCCGCTTGCTTGCGTCTTGCAATCAATAATACAACAAAAGCCATTCTCTTTCCTCACTCCGCCCTATGACTCCATCGCTCCCTCTTACCCATAATGTGTAATAATAATAACTACAACAAAGCAAAGTGCCATATAAAGTATATATGTATTTGATAAAGTTGTACCACATACTAATGTATACGTTGATTTTTGTTGGTGTTGTCAACTGCCGCGTCGTTTCCGCATTTCCCTTTATATGCACTATAAGCACATCCGCTTGCCACATTTGTCCTTCAGCCAGCTTTAGTTGGACGTAGGCGCAGCCCGCCTTCCTTGCCTTGCCTTGCTTTGCTGGCCATATCATTGCATATCGCGTGACCTTTAGCCATTTCAAATATGCATACATACTATACAGATATACACATATATATGTATGTATATAGCCTAGAGTCTAGGGTGCTTACTTAATTAAATTGGTCGAATGGTCGAGCGAGTCTGAGCCCCATTTTTGGTTGGCAGCTCCATTTATGGCGAACAGCACGTATGCAGCAGAAGCCGTTAGAATAAGCTAATGGAAAAACTGAAAAGAAATTGAAATTCAGTCACAATTTGCTGTAGCTGTAAAAGTCTAGAGCTTCAGAACATTATCTTTGACACAGCCCTTTATCATTAAAGATACGCGTGCCCAATACTTGGTATGTCAGTGTAAATTACTCATGTTTATAAATTTATACATTTTTATCAATCATTAACGCTTGCAACTGGATGTTAAATAAAGAAAGCAACACAAAAATGTCTGTGGCAGGCTTTAGGCAGAGCCTCTTGCTCTGGAGTGTTGACTACTGGAACCTTGAAGGTAATTTATGGAGAGTTAACATTGAGTCTTTGGTTTGATCTTCAGTTTGTTATTAAGTTTCACTTTTCTGCTTAACATATTTACAATTCAAATAAGATAATGTCTATCAAACTCTATTGCAGCTGTTATGGCGGACAATGTGTTCAAGTCGCACGATATTGGGTTACGCGCTCAAAAGAAAATACTCTCACGCATGGCAACAAAAAATATAGCGAAAACCTTTATCGACGGCACAACGGCTTCTTTGTTGGATAATCTCTATAAGCTTTGCAAGCTGCATACGGGCAATAAGGCGCGCGCCGAAAAGTTAATTAAAAACATAATTAAAATAGTTATCAAAATTGGTGTCCTGCATCGAAATAATCAATTTAACCAAGAGGAATTGCAAAATGCCGAGAACTTTAAGCGAAAATTTCAAGTAAAATCAATATAAATATCACATTTTGTATATATTAATAACTTTTGCTTCCTTTCTAGAACACACAACTGTCCATTATATCTTTCTACGAGGTGGACTTCACTTTCGATTTGGCATATTTGCAAAAGTCTATAAAGGAATCGCAAGTGGCGCTTAAGTCAATAGTTCAGTCACATTTAACAGACAAATCAATAGGCCGCATTGATGAGGTATTTGATTTTTTTGCTGACGAGACTCTATTGGAGCTGGCATTCAAAACGGATTCACCATATCGCGAGGTGATGGGCAAAATTGTGGCAGATATTAACTCAGCCATGGAAACGGGTGATATATGAGATGGAGAAGCAAGAGTCAAACTGCATTTGCTTTAGAAAGAAGGGGCTATTATCAAACCAAAAAAAAAACAACAACCAGATACTAATAGTTAGTTTAAAAGAACCTTCTAAGTCCACCAATTAGAAAGTAAAACAAAAAAGACAAACGCGCATCGAAAAGCAAAAAAAAACTTTTTTAAATTGAATTGGTGATATTCACAATTTAAACAATTAACATTATTTAAGTAGCAGTTGAAAATTAGAAAAAAAACGTCCAGATTGATTTATTTTAAGGCAATGTTAAAACAATTTGTTTAGATTTAAGTAGAAATGCATTTTGCCAAAGGAATTCACAAGCAAACAAACAAAAACTCAGAAATGTAAACGCAAGCAAAATGCTTTTTATCATCAATGTATTTGTCGTTGATTGTATTTGTAATTTGTAATACGTATAACTAAGTCGTATGTGAAAGTCTGTCTAAATATTGTCTATGTGTAGCTAAATATTTAATACTTTTTTGTTTATTCGTCTGTTTTGATATACTCCAAAACTCGCTCTTTGAAATGCAATTATATACTCGCTATCTAAGAACTTATGAAACACATATTAATATGCATATATCTATGTACTTAAAAACACTCTGAAATGACATTTATTTTTGCTGATCTCCACAAAAAATTTTTTCCAAACTACACCTATAACAAATTGTTAAAAAAAAACTATTAGTTCAGGCATATTCAACAGGTTGATAATCCCTTTTTTACACATATATTTATTTCTAATTATGTATTCCACCTCAAAGCCAAAGGCACGAGGTTCAATAACAATAAGCATTATTTATGATATTCCCAATTGTTTGAAATAGATATTTAGTATAAATACCCAGAACATATCATACAAATGGCTGGCGACACAATATCAATATATATACAAAATATATATATGTCAGTTAAATGGGACAATAAACTGTTCGCTTAACAATGAAAAAAGAAAAAATATTGTCGCACATATTTTGGATAATAGAGTTGATGGGACTAAAGTTATAGTTATTTAGGTTTTTAAAACATTGTGTATTTATTTGTTTAGAAAACAAATTTTTTGTTGACTTTCCCAATAAAAAGCAACGATTATAATTATAAAAAAAAAAACTCAATTAAAGACTTGAACTGCATAAATGTTTTATTCTGCGCGCTTTTGTTCTAGTATTTCGTCACCTGCATTGCCTTCCTCCAGTTTCTGTTGCTTGAAGAGCTCGATGAGCTTCTCGGTGGCTGTTTGTGGTATATCAAAGGGCTGTGATGCTTCCGTGCTGGGCAGGGTTTGCCTGTTTGCATCGGGTGAGCGTAGCAGGAAAGGAGTCCAGGATCCTTGTATAGATGGCACGTCCGTATGCCACATTTTGCGTAGACGCAGCGAACTGGAGCTGCCATTCTGTGTCTTTAGCAGATCAATCCATTTGCTGATCTCATCCTGTGTGCTATTGCGACAGCTCAACCACTCGCGATCACCATTTACTAAGGTTTAAAAGTATATAAGATATATATATATAATGTCCCACTGAGTGATTCTTACAGTGACTACTTACAGTATTCACCCACCAGCACAGGCGTGCGGTGACGGCGCGGCTTCACATAGACCACAATGCCGGGATTCTCTTTGGCAAAGTCCACCAAATGGTTTTCAATGAAATCCCTTATCAACAAATTCAGTTTTAGCTCAGTGTAAATACATGTTTTTGTTTATGCTTACCGCATGCCACGGCTGGAGCCGTTGTTCTTGCAAAATTTCAATGTAATGCGCTGCAGCTGGCAGACGTAGCGGCCGAGACCATTTTGCAGGGGTGCGCGTGGAAAACCGGATTTGAGAAACAGATGACTATTTGACATTTTAAATTGTTTTTCAATTTTAATGTGGCTGCAGTTGGTGTTGAAATATAGAGTTTCTCAATTTTCGTAACCAAAAACGACGTAACCTCGAGTCGCACACAATATGTCAGCTGTTTCTGTAGCTACCGTTCGACAGGGTTGCTTAACATAACGAAGAGACTGAAGTGTGCACAGTGTTACGGTAAGCTGAAGTATGTTAGTGTAATAAAATTATTAAATTAAATTTCGGATTAATAATTGATTAATAATAAAAGGAGTTGAATTAGTTTTATTTTTATTTTAGCATAACACTTTCATTAAGTTGGCACTTGAAAAGCAATTTTTACTATTTGTGACACTGTGCAATCAGCTTTGTTGATTCGACTGAAGAGTGCACAGTGCTTAAATCTAACATTATGAAACAAAACGATATATGATCAATTGAATTGAAAAAATATGTATATATAAATGTTTTTTATTTTTATTTAAAATAATTTACCGGCAAACGGAAATTACATTATTTGTTGGCAAGCACGCTATGCGGTAGGGAAGTTGACATCCGAAAACCGGTTTTTGTTGCCTATGGCACACTGTGCGTCTAGGGCTTAACAGCCCTGCCTTATTTACGCCTGATAACGGCGAAAAGCGGCACGAAAGAGAGACGGCGTCAATTCAAATGCAGCAGCGTCGCGTCGTTTTTCTTTTGACCGTGGAAAAAGAAAAAATAGAAAACGTGCAACGTGTTAGTGCGGCTGCATTTCTATTAGATTGTGTGTTGTGCCTTATCAGTGAATTATTTAGCACAACAAAACGATAATGGCCACAGTGAGTAAACATTATAAAATAATCTTGCAATTGCATTCATGTAAACAATATGCGTCGAAAGACTTTTGCAGGTTCAAAGTACCCAAAACTTCACATAGCTACAGCATCTAATGACGACGACGACGATGATGATGATGAGGAGGAGGAGGCGGATGAATCTGGTTCGACCAGCTCGTTTAGCTTACAGGAATGCATTAACGAGTTTCGTGCACGTCGGATTCGACGCGTCTCCACGCACAGTCGAGATCGCGAAATGCCAGCAGCTGGTGATGATCCAAAAGGCGCTCCGCTGGCATCTGCTAACACAACCGATGCGCATCTAATCAATCAGAATTTGTGTAACAAGGCTCAAGAGCGGAAGGGTAAACCGTGCAAGAACGGTTTCTGCTATTGCTTCACCAGCGACAGTGGCGATTGTGCTTCAACGACGGCTCCGCCACGTGACTGGCACGTGCGGCAGCAAAAACGCAGCAGGCGCTCTGAAAGTAATAAGGTGCGACCCGTAGTGCTTTCCCTTTCGAATTTACATAGATTTTCATGAATACACATACATATATATATATATATATATATATATATACATACAATATAGTAATACATGCTGCGTTTTTTCATACAGCTGGGCGTCGCACAGCCGCCTCTGAATAATCTAAATGCGCAACAGCAGCGAGAGTTACCAAAACGGAGTATACAGAAGCAGCCAGCTCTCATTGCTGCAGGACAGACTTCTATCTCTGCTAATCCTTTGACAGCGGTCAGCAGCTTGCGAGCTGTGGGCGATAATGCACCACTTATACACATCATACAAGAATTGCGCGATAATTGTGTCATATCCGAGGTTCGCGTCAATCGTGATAAATTATCAGGCATCAAACAGCCAACATCAACAACAACAACAAAACGCTCATCACTTAAGGCATCATCCAAACTAAAGGTAGCTGCTCCGAAAATGCGTCAAACCGAGACCGTAGACTATCAGCCCACAGCGCCCGTGCTGTCTAACATAAGTGAACACGAGACGCCACTGGAGGAAAGCGAACAGGCCCTTCTAACAGAACAAACTAGTTTAGCGGGTGGCAGCTTGCATTCAACTCGCCGCAGTTCCCGTCGCAGTTCCAGTGGAGGCCGACTACTTCAGAAACGTCTCTCACAAGGCCAAGTGAATTTCAAGACTCACGATATGGAGAAGCCGCCGCCAAAGCCACCTCGCCGCAGTACACAGAGTCTCGATGATAAATTCTCGTTATCATCGCTGACCTCAACCACGCCTTCGGTGCGGGAAGCCGAGCGCGTCCTGGATGAGTTTCTGCGCAAGCATGGCGTACAGCTACCGACCACACAAAAAGAAAACTTGCCCAAAGCCAAGAGCAAGCGTAAATCCTATCCATTAGGTAAGTAGTAGTTGAAATATTAATGGAAAGGTGTTAGGTTAAATTAGGTCTACTTAATCTACTATAACTAATACGGTAGTTAGTTTAAATCATTTTCTTTGACACCAAATTAATATACAACTAAAATTGTAGAAATAAAATAAATAAAAATGAAACTTAGTTTCATTAACTAGAGTGAAAACTTTGTTAACAAAGAATAAATCGATTTGCAATAATTCTATCTGGAGAGCTTCCACTGTACGATCTTTATATCTATATATCGCTCATCTATGCTTCACATTTACAGCTGAAATTGAGAAGCCGATGCGCATCAATCCTTTGCCCAGCTGCCCCTCGCTGAGCGATATTGAGCGCGTGGTGGAGTCAAAACGAGGCGCGCATTATGCCAAAAATATACATATGGCTAGCAAGAAGAGTGTTGTGGCCGATAAGCCTATAAAGGACTTTACTCTTGGCTGGACGGAGCCAAAAATCAATGATATGCTAAACTATGATATAGCTAAAAAGACGCAATTCAAGACTAATGCACCGGAGCCAGCGCCACAGGTGGCCAACATAGGTTGGCAGGTGCCAGTTATGCCCAAGATTTCACTCGACACAGTTGATGGCGTTAGTGATAATCTGGCCGTCAACATGGAGCAGAAGCATACGCCGATTAAATATCCACGTCTGCCCAAGCAGAGCAGCCAAAAATTCATTTGGAGCGAACAATGGCGCAATTTGACTCCTTGGAGTGGCAACAAGCCACGAACAGGACTACGCAAGAAGTCCAAAAACTTTTTAAACAATTCCAAAAAGAAAATCTTGCGCTTTGTCTCACCCAAGAAGAGTAACCAAGAGCAGTTGGAACGGGAGCATACCCAACGTCGTCGTCCCACTCCTCGCCTCTGTACAGTGGGCGTACAGACCAGCTCCATATCGCAATTGGATTTGCAGTCACAGTCACCGCCGGGTAGCTATCATTCCCCCGTACAATCAACACCAACGGCCACCACCAGCTCCGCCCGACCGCCACACTATAAAGAAAGCTCCGAGCAGCCTTATTTTGATTTTGAACGCAAGGTAAAGCCGCCAAAGCAGTCACGACCACAGCGTCCACGCAAGTTGAACTTTCAAGGCGACAGCAATTCAGCACCCGCTGCTACCTATCGCTCTTTTCACAAGGATCTAGATCAAGATGTTACCATCACCAAAATGGGCTATTTGCTGGGCAACATACGAGCCAAATTGGAAGCTAGCGATGAACGCGCCATTCGTGCTTTTGGGGTGAGTTCGATTTACAGTTGTTATAGCGTGGTCAACCGCAAAAAAATTGATATAATAATCAGGATCATGATCTAGGCCTGATAGAAGGATCAAGGGATAAGCCAGAGACTTAAGATTTAACAAGAACGTATTTCTATACTTGGTGACCGAGTATATGTAACGCCTGAGGAGATTGATTTTATCTATTAACTTATGTACAACAAATTTTGGTGGCATTTATTATTAAGTTGGAAAGACATATAAATGCTAGGCCAGAGCAAAGGTAGCTCCAAGCGCATAATGATCAGAGCCGAGATAGTGATTAGGTATCAAGCCTACTTTGGCACAGCAATTGATGGTTGGCAATCGATACACGCTTAATGTCTCCAACTTCTGCTTGCTTTGCTGGCAGACTGAGCGCAGAATATAGTCGACAGTGATCCAATCGTTTTGCAATGTTGACGCCGTGTAGTCACCGAAATGTAATGCTTCAAAGTTGAGTGCAGCAGGATCCTCATCTCTGTTCAATAGCAGCTGCATGGGTGTCGTATGCAATTCCGAATTAAAGTCTCCAGTTAAAATTACGGGCGTTAAATTTTGAGCCGGGTCTGTGGCAAAGCAGCGTAGTTCCGTGAGCAACTTGCTCAACTGCGCACAGCGAACATCGGCACGTCGTGGATTATAAAGTAGATGTGTTGTGGCTACAATTACTTCTTTATTATCTTTAGTAAAATCGCTGACGGGACTTGCTTGTTTTAATCGGAATTTGGCTAATAGAGCCACATTTTCTCGATTTAGCAGTGGGACATTTGGATCGTAGAGCTCTATAGCGTGCTCCTTTAGCAGCTGCAGCTTGCAGGAATCGTATATTATGGCACAGCCATCGGTGCGGCTGCCTGTCTTCTTTTTATATACATATTCCAACCGCTTGCCACTGCTGGCCATCAAGCGCTGCACCAGCAAGGGCAAATGATCGTATTGCATCTCCTGCAAGCAGAGTATATCCGGATCCAATTTGTGAATCTCGCGATGGATATTCTGCAAACGCTGTCGCCACGTTAGCCACTCCTGCTTGATATTGACATAGAGAAAGAAGTGTTCCATGAGCAAGTCCTGGGCGAGTATGTTGTACGATAGCAGCTTTATTTTGGATTCCGAATTAGCCTCAGATTTTGTTGTTAGCGTCCATTCCCGATTGTAATCGTAGCGTTGCTGCATTTTGTGGCTTGGCTGGCGTCTATCATACACGCTATTGCGGACGAATTGTAGTCTCATGCTTAGTGGTCGGAATCCAAACTTATACATCGAACACGATATCTATGAAGCGATTGGATTCCGTATTCCGACCAGAAAATATAAACAACGCCAGCCAATGCGTACACACTAATGTTTTTTGACATTCCCATTTCACTACAAATCGCCATTCACACATCGATTGTGTTTGTTATCGAACACTTTGACAGAGCGCGCACTATAGGAACAGGTTCTTTTTTTCAATATTTTTTCGGAATAAAGTATTTCGAAAATGAATAATTTAATCATGAAATTTAAATTTATAAGCTATTCAATTGCAATTTTGATGACATGATGATAAAAAGTGAATGTGTACATATTTTAGGCTAGCTCTCGTGTGATGCCTGAGGAACGATTGGAAAATTTGGAGCTGACGTCGGATGGTTTCGACTGCATAGATGCACCGAGACGGCATTTGGAACACTCCGCAACATCTATGATACGGCAGCCTCGTAATCCTGACCGGGAACCGATTTACTCTGAAATCGAAGAGGATTGCATACTTATAAGCGGTAGTCCGCAATTTGATGTGCGCACAGAAGCGCAACTTGAAGTGGAACCGACACCTACGCATACCCCTACACCAACACCAACGCCAACACCCACACCCTCAGCCACACCCACACCCACAGTATCGCCTACGCCAGCGCTCACAATTGCGACAGGGACTGCCACAGTTAGTGAGCCAACATCGATAGCCTCACCTTTCCCACTCTATGCCCAAGTGCAAAAAGCCAATAAGACGCCATCAAAGACAACACCCGCAAAGGCTGCGCCTCCACCCAGAGCTCTGGGACACTTTCTGCAGGAGTCCTTGAAGAATGGCAGCTTCTTTAAGTTTATGCCACTGCCCGATGAGCCCACCAGCGAAAGCTCATACACCATGTCCAACTCGAATAGTATCTCGAATCAAGCGACGTTGCCCATGCATCAATCGCTAAACAACATCAACGAACAACATTCTCCGCCCAAAAAGAATCGTAATTTAAGCAAGTCGGAGCTATCGCTGCAGCGCAGTGAGATATTCCTAGAGAATCTATGTCGCAGCGAGATTGTGCTGGATCCTGATGATAATGCGCGACTGGAAAAGGTGCAAAATGTGAGTATTAAATTTATTTGCTATACAACTTTCAGTACAAATAAAGTTTATGTATTTCTCGACAGACCTGTCTTAGAGCGCAGTCAACTACAGATGATGTCTCGTATGATATGCCAGTAGAATTATACGAAGACTATATAATTGATGATCGCAACGCCAGTGGCAGCTCCTTTGCTACCAAATATGGATCTGTGCAGCTAGAGCCACCGCCTCCATCTTCAGATAATCAGAGCACACCAAAGAAACAACAACAGCAGCAGCAGCAGCGCTTTACGACTAAGGTAGAAATTTTTGTTGAAACTCATTAGCCAAACACACTTTCGCTGTATATATATCAAAAACCCCTGTACAGATATAACGCGCATTATAAATTAGTTATAAACAAAACAACACTATTTGCTTGCTTCTTCTTTGCTTTACCAAACACATTTCAACTTGAATGTCACTAAGTTTAGTATATGCTAACCATTGCCTTGCGCCCAATTTATTTTAGCCAAGCATTGATATCAATGATGGTCCATCAATGGCAGGCCAGACTGTAAGCCAGAGCTGTCCAACTACACCACAGCAGCAAGAGCAGCTGCCGCCGTTGAAGCCAACGCATAGTAGCTTAACCGAGCTGCCAGCAAATGACAGCCAGCTGTTATCCATGAGCACAATGGCTCGTTATCGTCTGTTGAAGGATGCAGTGCGCCGCTCGTATCGCAAAGGTAAAGACTTCTTGCTGGCCGAGAAGCAGCGGCTTGCTCAAAATCTGAGTTTGTCTCGCGATCAATCTAATCAAACGGAAGCTGAGTTGGATACCAGCAGCTACTATGCCACCTTCAATCTGGATTCGCTGCTCAATGAATCGCTGACGACGAAGGAGCAGCTGTCGCAAGCTGTCAGTATTTGCCGTCAAATGCCCGAACTGGAAATCTCGCCTGAAATGGTGGAAGCAGAGCGGCTGCTGCTGTTTAGCACGCTGCGACAGAAAAAGGAACCCGCAATACTGGCCAGAGAGGATACTCTAACTGTGCGTCAGCAATCGCAGTGCCTGCTGCTGGATGGTTTGCATTTACCTGTCAGGTCGGACGCTAACCAGGATATGTTCTTCAACTACTATTACATCTGTACCATTGAATGTGAGGGTCACATACGCTCCACACAATCCATTGAGTGCCAGCATGGAGCTGCAATCTTTCGCGATTGTGGCTTGGAGTTTTATAGCGTTGGTGAAGCTGAGGCGCTGGAGCTGCGATGTCAAATTTTTATGCTACGTCTGCGCAAGGTATCGACACTGTCACTGGAGCCGTCTAACAAACTGGTAGATGAAATCTTATCTCCTCCAAATCCTTACTCATAGCCATTTCCTTTCTTTAGAAACGAGGCAGTGGCAGCCTTGGCTCTAACAGTTCTTCTAGCAGTTCTTCACAAATTGTTTCACGCTTTCGTCTGCACGCCTCCTTCACGCTAAAAGCCTCTGATCTAGTGCCCTACGAGCTTGTCTCCAATGATACGCAGCCTGGTGACAAACTGTGGCTGCGTACCTCGCGTACCTGGCAACTACCGCTAACGCCACACACTAAATCTTCGAATCTAATGCCACAAATAGAGCTGAGTGGACGCGTGGAACTGCGTTTGCCCAAGTCTCAATACGCAGGCTATCTGAATGTGCAGGACACAGATCCGAGGAATAAGCACAATTGGAATCGGCGCTGGTGTACGCTGGATGGACTGCATCTGGCTGTCTGGCAGCACGAAAACAATCTCGTCGAGCAGCCACCGCTGCTGTCATTGCAGCTGGGCGAGTGCCGACAATCGCAATTGGATGTAGCTCCGCGGGAGCTGTGCGCACGTGCTCGCAGCTTTTGGTTACAGTGTCCTAATGGTGAGGCCTTCTTTGCAGCGGATACCCAAGCTGAGCTGGTCGATTGGCTGCGCAGGCTAAATGAAGCGTTGGCTTTCACTAAACGCTGGTTAAGTGCCTCTTAGCAATTAGTTTATATAATTTATATATTATTATTATGTGTTTAAGTGGTGCCTCTTAGCAATTAGTTTATATTATTCACCTCTTATTATATTTTTATATATTTAGCGTAAGGTTTTATGTTTCTATTTTTGGTTATCTGAATCAATTCATTAGTTATGTATACAAGTATGACTGGCAGCTTCTATATATCCATTATATATACATATATGCACATATATATTCCAGGCTTTGTCTAGTCTAAGCAACAGTCAACTTTATACAATTTGTAGTCAGCGAAACTTGCCAAGTAAACATTCCTCGACTGAAACGTGTTGGATTCCATTCAAATACTTTGATCAACATTTTTGTGCATTAGCTATTATATAATAATATATTTAAGTAAATATATATGTGCACAACAACAACAACAGTTTATTACATACATAATTTACATGGATTATAATAATATAAAGAGATATATATATATAATATGTTATATTTGTGCGGATTACAATATGATACATAGTGTTTAATAATTTTTATATAATTTATAGTTTAGATAACTCTCACGGCTGACGCATTAGATATTTTGTTAGTTATGTATATATATATTATATATGCTTTGTAATTCCATTTGCTCGATTACAGTGCAAAACATAAGTGTTGAGGTTATCTTTGTTGTGGTAATTTGTTTTGTCCAGCAATTTACATACTTAAATTGTATAATTAATAAATTACTACTATTGGTTTTTCTTCAATTTAATTTCTTTTTTGTTATCAAAAACTGTCTATTGTTTTGGTTTTGGTTTTGGTATTCTGTTTCACTGTTGCTCTATAGGTTCTACTATATTGGTTCTATATAATTATTTTACTTTTTTCTTATGAGATATGCCGATACGCCTCTCAGATATTTGTTCTAGCTGCTTGTCGCGAGCTCTTCCAGGGTCTTGGTAATCGAATAATACCTCAAGCCAAAACATATTTCCAGACGCGATTCGTCTGGTGATTGGTGCCCGTCTCCGTCACATAGAGCGCCGATCCATTCACGCTGACGGCTATCGAGTGAGGATTCTTGAACTCGCCCCAATGCCCAATAATTGTCTCGGAACGTGGATCTATGGTGAAGCCACGTACAGGTAGCATCGAGGTGGGCCCATTCACAGCAAAGACAATGTCGCCATAGCCACTGACACCAAAGACTCGACCCAGATCCGGTTCCTGAATGGTGGCTGCCGGTTGACCCTCACCATGCGATGACTTAAGGCCAGCTCTGTAATTATTTCAAATGGTTAGTTCATATTTAAGTTTATGTTTCGTTTTATATCATTCTATCTTCTTGATTTGGTTTTCTTTTCTATAGTTTCCATTTATTTTCTCTCGTCGTTCTTCTACTCTGGACTGCTCACAACTTCCCAGTTCTTAATTCTTAATTCCCACTCAAAAAACTCTGCTTTTCTCACTTCTCACTTTTCTGTTTCTCTAATCAGTTCGAACTTCTCTTACTTGGGGCACACAACACGCATATTCTCACGATCCGCAATGCACAGTAAGTCCAGGTGTTCCAATAGGGTAATTGCATGTGGCACCTGCAACGAGAGGAATTCTGCAAGCATTTGCAATATTAAAATATTTCTCCATGAAGATTATTAAGTATACGCACCAGGTGGCTGCGGAATGCTGCGCAGTAGTTTGCCAGCTGCATTGAATTTGAGTATGCGACTATTACAGTAGCCATCCGCTATAAAGAACTGCCAAAAATAGATAGAATTAGTATAGAATTACATTACATACAAATTGTAGCTACCTCGCCTGTTGTGGCTACGGCTATAGAAGTGGGCTTGCACAGGTGCTTGACAGATGAACCGGGTCGGAAGCGCTTGCCTATGACAAGCTGCGGCTTGCTCTCAAAGGGTCGGAACTACAACCAATAGATATGTACAAATATAGTATGTTATACAGTCCATTATAGCCTACCCAGCCTACCTTGAAAGCTTGATGCATGGCCACATCGGTTATCCAGTAATTTCCATGTCCATCTATAGTCATACCGTGTGGCATATAAAACATTTCCGAGCCCCAACCAGTTTTAATGGCGCCCGTCTTTGGATCCAACACATAAATAGTTTTCTCCTTAATGGGTCCATACTCAATCAGGTAGTAGATGTTGCTCTCATTGAAAGTGCTGAAAAATAAAAGAGAATGTGAATATGTGTGTCACAAACACTTGTTAGTGGACAGCTGGTGACCTACTTAACATCCCAATAGCGGTCAGCGCGATGAAAAATCACAGGATTGCCTTCTGGGTCTACAGAAACTGCTGTGACTTGGCCAAAACTGTGCTGATCTGTGGGCCAATTCTCAACAAGCACGGGAACGGGCACACTAGCTGCAGGTATGGGCACATTGTCATAGCTGCGTTGATTCTGCAGCGCCACTTCATCGCCCGCCAAAGGCAACGGTTTGGCCTACAAAAGTGATGTAGAGGACGATAGAGACAGGAAGAAAAAGAGTAAAAAACGAAATTGAAATATAAAAGAGTTGCAGCTTACCTCCATGCGTCGCTTGATGAGCTCCCTGACCTCATCAAAGAAACGTTCATTGAGGTTTAAGGCAGCTTCTGGCAGGTGGTTGCCCCCCATTGCAGATATTTCGGCCAAACCAAGCGCCAGCAGCGCTATCCAAAAATATTCTCGCATTCTGTGAGATCTTGACGTATATTTACTAATTTTCTATTTTGTTTTTATAAAACTTCGAACTGCACTGATGCCCGTTTATTTTCACACAATTTTCTAAGGCTTTGACTGCCTTAACATCTGTTGGAGTTGTCTATATGTTGAGCTGGCAATAACTGAAATCACTCGGGGCTAGCACACGCACAGCACCTACGCTTTTCGCTTTCATTGCAAACGCATGCGCCTCGCCTGTACCGTGGTTCGCATATGCTAAAACCAGGTGCAGTTCATATGACGACCAGTGTCGTTAACAGCTTGTGTCACGGTGGCACGAATACAGCCTCAAGCGTGTTGATTGAACAACGTTTTATTGATTTTCCAATTGGCCAAAAAAATTGAGCGCCAAAAGTTAGGCAACAGCAAAAATAGCCGCTTAATGCAAATGTTCGATAATTTTATTGTTGTACACAAATCGATAACACAAGATCCCATAAAGAACAAACTCACACAGACAGGCGTGCAAGTATGTATGTGCCCTAAGTATATGCGAGTGCCTAGAATATATCGATACTTAATACTGCGCAAATAGCTTTAGCTAATTGCCGATATTTAAATGCCGATAAATTCAGAAGTACAAATAAATTTGTTTTAATTTTTTGCTAATATTTGTAACCAATGAGTATGATGGCTTAGCTGCCATTTTAGAATATTTGTTGTAGGCCACTTATGAAATGGTTGCATACTATCAGCAGTCAGTGTAGCTGCCGTTGGTGCTGGTTTATGTTATTGTTATTGTTATTGTTGTTCTTGTTGCTGTTGTTGGTAATTTAACTGTGATGATATGTTTGACGTCACGCACTCAGCGCTCAACGGTGCCCAACGCTAGTTGAGTCCAAATATAACCGGTATCTGTCATAGAACAATACGCATTATAATAGCGTCCTGGCGAGCTGAAAAGATAGATTGCGCGATTACAAGTAATTCGCACTGATAAGATAAGTCTATAACACCTACCGGCAATAGGAATACTGTGGACACTTGCAGCGAAACAGATTTTGGAACTCCTCCTTGCACACCTCATTCCACCAGCAGGTGCGCTATAAATTAATAGGTAAATCCAAATGGACGTTTAATTTGCTTCAATTGATACCTCAGTCATGTAACCATGCACGCTCTGGTCGGCGTAGCGTTTGTTTGAGCTGTGCCCATCCTCATTGGCGTGCAGTGGAGTCAGCGCCACGAACAGCATCAGCATGACAAGCAGCCAACCACCATGTCCACCTTGTCCTCCATTTCCACCATGTCTAGGCAGGCTGAACGTCACGGACAGCGCCTACAAAGAGTACAAAACAGTAAAATAAAATACACACATAACTTGCAACCTTTATTTTGTCGCACCTCTTGCATCGCGTTGCGTTTCGTAATTGATGTTTTTGTTATGCTATTTTCGCCTCCTTTTCGCGTATCACATGACGCAGGAGCAGACACGCAGGCACAGATAACACTCACGCATACACAGACAGCCAGTTGCCCGCTGTTTTGGCTTTGGCCTACATTTGGGCGTCGCTCGGCTTCGATTCGGTTTCCCCATATTTCTCGCACACGCACAAATATATACACACACACACACACACACACACATATGCATGGACCAATATGGAGGCGGCTGATGGTGGTGCATACAAAAACAGGGTGTTGCTGTTTCATGTTTTATGAATGGAAAGAAAGAGAGAGAGAGAGAGAGAGCGAGAGAGAGAAAGAGAGAGAATAAAAGACGAAGTCAGAGACAGATAAAAAGACGAAAAACAAGATACAGTTTCAGAGAGGGAAGGAAAGAGGTAATCAGAGCGATGGGACAGACTGAGAGCAACCAAGCTAAAGAGATATTTAGAGATGAGGTAAGATATGTGAAGTCAGCGCTATGAAACTTTAAAAGAAGTCATATAAGAATGTATACGATGACAAGATTTATAGAAGGTTAGACTTAAAGATTTTAATGGAAGGGTAGAGAAATTGCCTTATTTAAACATAACATAACATAAAGCAACATATCAATTAAAATTCTCAATATTAATTTGGTATTTCTAAAGTAAGAAATCAACGACATTTTCTATACGTCACAGCGTTTGTCTAACAGACACAGCGTGACTCAGCAGCAGATGCCGAAAATAATCAGAAAAACTCATTTATTTACCAAAATATTTTAATGTGTGGAATCAAATGATTTTCAACAGGTTGAATAGGTACAATATTTCCTATCAAGCGCTTGTAAGGCCATATATAAGTAGCTTAACGTAGGTGTTTATTTCAATAGGAACAGCAAGAAATTAACATATATAAAACTTGCTTCTGGCAACTTCTAAGACTTTAAATTTTCTATAAAAAATGGTTTCGTGCGAAACATTCGAAAACATTTGGCCAAATGTTCGAGTACATTTCCTTCTATAAATATGCTAATAAAAGATTATACAAAATAATTGCATGCATCGTGGAGGCTTGTTTGAACAGCATTTTCCAAATGGTCTGTGGAACATTTAAGATGTGTATAGAAATTTCCATGCATAGGCGTCAATGCACGCGTCTTTCCCCAAAAAAACAAAACAAACCGACAAACAAGCAAAATCCAAACAAATATATTAAGTATGCGCAGCAGACTACCCTGTAAGAAGAAGGTAGAATAAATTCGTATAAATATAAAATAAAGCCTTCACGCAAATATTAAGGAAATTTTTTAAAAGCGATTTTTGTATAAGCAACATTTGAAACACAATGAATCAGTTATAAATATCAAGTATTCGACGCATAAGCCAGACGCTTTTAGATGTTGTTGAAGATATTTTTGAAACTTTAATTTGCCGAAGTTTGCATGCATCAGTCACTAACTATGCTACAAATTATTCAAATAGAGCTCACAATATATTTAATTTTAAGTATGTTTTAAGAGGAAAAACATTATTTTTTTAAAATTATTCATTATTTCATTATTTCAATTATTTCATTATTTTTTTTTTAAATAAGTTGTTTATTTTATTTTTTAACTAAACTATTTTTATTATTAAAATTACAAAATTAATTAAATTTAATTATTTATTTTGTATTTTAAAGTATATTATTTATTTATTTATCTAAGTAAAATATTAATTTCTTAAATTAAATTATTATTAGATATAGAAAAACTACAAATTCTTAAAAATTCTCTAACAGCCATTTACAGGGTATTTATATAGTTTATTTGTATAAGCAATATATTTGGGCAAACACGAGATATATATGGCACATACTCATAAATATATGTACATAAGTCTATATATATATAAAGTTAAATTCATGTGGATGACGCTTGGCTAAATTTAGATGGCAAATACATTTTCATATTTTTAGCACATAGAGAAGAAATGTAAACAGTTGAATGCGATGCTATAAAACTGAACAGATTTTTCGAAATGCTCCACAAAAAACCTGCAGCCGCGAAACGGAAAACACGAGAAAAATTCTATAATTCGTGACCAATTGGATTAATTAGCAAAGGTACGACAGGCAATCAAATTGATACACATAAAAGTATACTGAAAAAAAGAGAATGAAATCGTTTAGGATTATAACTGAACTAATTGAATGATGTGCATTAATTGCCATTAGCTTTTTATCTCTCTTTCCTGCTTCCAATAGATGTCCGTAGTACCTCTAATGTTTCGTGATTGGTGGGACGAGCTTGACTTTCCAATGCGCACCTCGCGCCTGCTGGATCAGCACTTTGGTCAGGGTCTAAAGCGTGATGATCTTTTGTCGTCCGTCTGGAACTCTCGTCCCACTGTGCTGCGCTCTGGCTATCTGCGTCCTTGGCAACGTTCCGTCAACAGTTTGCAAAAACAGGAATCGGGCTCCACTCTGAATATCGACAGCGAGAAGTTCGAAGTGATTCTCGACGTGCAACAGTTTTCGCCGAATGAGATCAAAGTGAAAGTTGCGGATAAATTTGTCATAGTCGAGGGCAAGCACGAGGAGAAACAGGACGAGCATGGCTTTGTATCCAGACAGTTCTCCAGACGCTATCAGCTGCCAGGTAGATTGGAATTGAATCTGTCTTCTTCTTCTTCATTATATTATATATATTGTTTATTGCAGCTGATGTCAATCCAGACACAGTCACCTCCTCGCTGTCTTCGGATGGTCTGCTGACCATTACGGCGCCCATGAAGACACTGCCACCGCCTTCCACGGAGCGCCTGGTGCAAATCACACAGACTGGACCCTCCTCCAAGGAGGATAATGCCAAGAAGGTCGAAACAACAACGCAATAAACGACACGGGCTATTCAACTGTTAGCTGTTATTGTTTAAAGAAGCCTTACGAGCAATTATCACGCCTTTTTTATACCAATGTGAGAACTAGAATAAGTTTATATGACTATAATATTGGAAGTCTTAAATATATATAGAATGAAAAATGAAATTAACTTTGCTAATTGTAAATCAGCTGAACAAAAGTTTGAAATAAACAATTATATTTGATATTAAAAAAAAAAAACATTTTTTAGGAAGATGTTAAAAATATATCTTAAATCAATTTTATAAAAGATAAAATTTCTTATATCTTCTTTTTACATTTAGATGGAAAAGAAAGTATATGGAATTAAATGTGATTCAAAGTAGGCTTGATATTTGTCATCATAATCAATTATAAATAATTAGCAACGTAATGAAAATTAATGGAAAGTTAAGGAAAGGTTCTACATATAGCTTGTGGCCAAATGTTAGGGCAATGAAGTTGTCTTGGGGAGAGAGCATAATAATAGCATCAAGATATATGAATTTCTCTGCCTTTCAAGGTTTATTTTGACATTTAAGCAAAAAGAGGAAGCTAGCCAAAATCTGAAATATTTAAAGTTTGAGAGTTTTTATTTTTTGTGGTATTCAAACAAAAATCAATTTTAATTGGCGATTTTTAGCGATGGTCGAGAAATAGGAGGAGTATCGAAAAATAATGATAAGCTCGAGCTCAACAATAAACATGGCTACGTGCACATGGACTGACAGATGGGCATGGCTATATCAACTCAGCACGGGGTCTGATCAAGGATATATATCCATCAATTATTCATATTCTTCATCTGCCTTAAAAATTGATATAAATGCATTTCGACTCAGACAGACATATGAATTGAAGCATATGGAAAGCTTAACTTACAGGCAGAAATTGCAATGTTTTTTACTTATAAATAATATAAAATATAAATAGACATATTATAATAAATTTGTATATTTTAATACAAATATATTTATATTATAATAATATAATATATAAATATAAAAATCTAAAAGTAATTCAAATAAAATATTCAACTTTGTAGCTTCATCGAAAATCGCGAACTGTTCGTCCCAACCCCGTATATAATATAATTCTTACATTCCAACTAAATCAGATCTATTGCTAATTGCATCAGCCTTTTCAAGAGCTATCTATAGCTCTTGCACTCTCACGTTGGATACCACACAAAACTTATTCACGCAGATATTTAAATTTATTCGAAATTATCATCCGTAAAAAAACTATTAAACAAAACGTAAAACTGTAAAATCGAGCATATATGAAGTTATAATGTGTTATTTGTTATTTCTTTGTTGTATCTTGCGCCTTGCTGTCTGTTTTAGTCTTAAGGTTCTTCAGTTGCTCCTTTTGCTGAAATAGAAGATGTGCAGATAAATGAATATATGTATATATAGATATAGATATAGATATATCTGTATGTTGTGCTTTACGCGAACTCTTCAAGCCACTCTCGCCTGTATATATATATACTATATAGTGTTTATTTTTAAGTACTGACCTGTTTGTAGAAGAACTCCTCCTCGCGAGCAGCTTCCATCTTGCCAAATGAACCACCAGCATCGCGTATAGAGCCACCGGCCCCACCACCTTTGCCCGCACCACAGCCAAGCTCACCCACATGCGACATGTTTAAGTGTCTAATAAACAAATAAATATAATTGTACATAGTATACAGACTTCGTAACAGACATAGAGAGAGAGAGAGAAAGAGAGCGCCTTATGCAATCTCGATCCTCTTATGGAACTTACTGAATTTGTTTTGGATACAGATGTTGACTGATGCGGCGCAGTGTTAACATATTGGTTATATACCGGCAGCTAATTTAGTATATGACTTATATGTATATATGTTTTTTTGCATATATATATATATATCTGTATATACAAGTGTTTGGATGATAATATACGATGAGTGCTTGTTGGTCTTTATTTCATGCTGTTATGAAAAACTCAGCTGCTTTTGCATTGTCCACTCGGATTGGATTGGGCTTTATTCGCGGGCCCTGCCAACTTGTGTTAAGACTTCCGAATTAGAGGAGGGAAAAGTTTGAATAAAGAATATTTTAGAGCACTTGAACGCGGTTCGCATACGAAATAACAACGAATGGCGTCCAAAGCAGTTGAAAATGTTTTTAATTTTTCTTTTTTTAAGCATTTTTTGGATTTACCAAATACTGTGCTTAAGATTCTTCCTCTTCCGCGGGCTCTTCCTTACCACGATTGTGCAAGACCTTTAAGCACTCGGTACTCTAGAGAGGAGGAAATACAGATATAGATATTGATATATATTAATGATATTTGGCCAATAGTTGTACCTCATTCATAAAGAATGCTTCTTCATGTATATCTTTATATTTGTTAATACAAGTCGTATTATAAAGTGCAGCGTGATCTAATGTACGTTGATACTCCTCGTATTTGCGCATATAGTCGGCTGTCTTTGAGGATTCAATGTGTTTGCGTATATTGGACATTAATCCGTGATTGATTGAGGTAAAGTATTCTTCTTCCTTGATACCACCTTGCAGCTTACCCAGGCCTCCTCCTAACAGAAATACATTTGAAGGTAGACTGCTCTTCGAGTAACGTCTGGAGTAGGGCTGTGTTAGCTTCATTGGATCATGGCCAGAATTTTGGAACTTACGCGTAATTTGGAATTGAGGCTCGTGTGCGTAGAAACAAACCAGCGGGAAACATTGTTGCGTCTTTCTTTTAATAATTATATATATATGTACGTATATATATATACATATATATAAAATATATATATATATATAGATATATATATATTTGAGTGCTTGATACGATTATAAAAACTTTCTGAATTGTTAACAAATGCTAAAGGCATCTAAATTTACTGTCAGAGAAGGTAGATCAAAATAAAAAATTTTGTAAAATGAAAGTAGCAATAAAAAAAAACAACATCACAGAACTCCGCGAAAACTACATCCCGATATCGGTAAGTCCTATCTCAACTAAATCGATCATTATTGCTGTTGATTACATATATTAGTAATCAACAAATAATAATATTTATCTATATACATGTACGCATGTATATACATATATATGTATATATATATATATGTATTTATATATATGTGTGTATATATATTTATGCATCATATATCATACATATATATACAAAAATTCTTAAATGCGTCCATTCACCAAAGACATCCAACCAGTGGTAATCAAAGGAAGACGTAAGTCGAAACTGGAGGCGCCCAAATCAAAATCAGCGGCTGCGCTCGTCAAACGCAAGAACCGCAATGCCCGTCGAAAGAGCCACTATCAACATCATCACAATAGCAACAACAACAGCAACAACAGCAGCAATAACAGCAGCTGCAATAGCAACAACAACAGCAGCAGCAACCACAACAACGATGATAATGATGATTATGACAACAGTGGTGGGTATTATGACGATGATCTGGTCAAGGAGCCGTGCCAATTTGTGCCCGTGCGCCGGAAGCCGCTTGGTGAGTATATGAATTTGGAGGGGCCACAAATAACAGCAACGGCAGCGGCGGCGGCGGCGGCAGCAGCAGCGGCGGTAACAGCAGCAGTGGGAGCAACAACAATAACAACAACAATTACAGCAACGTCATCGTCATCATTGCCATCGGCGGCTTTGCAGGGCATGCGAATGAGCTATGCAGCAGCCGTACAAACTGGATTGGGAGTAAAAGTTATGATATCGCCGCGTCTTAAAAAATGTAATAATAAGCCTGGCAACAAGGGTCAAAAGGCCAATAATAATCATCATAATAACAATAATAATCATAATAATAGTAAGATAACCGCTGACACAAAGTTTCGGATATTTGATGAGCAACCAAATAAGCCGCATATTGTCCGAGTCGACCCAAAGGTGTTTCGTACTGATGTTGAGGCTATGAAAGCAACTGCACGATTGAAGACATCCAAAACGAAGAAGCCAACGACCGCCACAGGGGCAGCATCAGCAGCAACTTCAACAAGAATTTTCACATTAAAAACAAGCGAGCTAACAACTAGCCCAAAAGCTGAACCCGAAGATGCTGATATTAAAGCACTGGAATTGAAATTCAAAAGACTGGCATGCAATGCAGCTGGCACCGCTGCAGTTGCGGCAAACATGATGCAAACGGCGAGAAATTTGAATTCAATTCAAGGCAATTCATTAACAGCATCAAATGGGAGCCAAGGTCAAAACCAGAGCCAAGGCACAGCAATCAAGCAGCATCATCAACAACAGCAACATCAGCACAACGATAACAATGTGAAATCGCCGGCATTTGTGGATTCGATCAGTTATTTAAGCTTTCATCAGGAACGCTTACAGCGGATAGTAAATAATCAAAGCATTTGCGTCATTTGCTTACAATCACCAGAAACAATGAAGGTACCACAGTTTGAGGACAGGCATTTTAAATATCTCGAGGAAGCTGCACTTTTGGCACAAAATCGCACCATGCTACGCTTATGGCTGAACGCTGATCAACTGATATGCTAGTAAACATTTTTCAGACAGATAAATTTTTAAAGTTATATTAGTTATATTGTGTGTTCTAAGTTATGCCTGTTGACTTAAAACAAAATTGAAATGCAACGGCCAACAATAAACTTGGCCTGCCCGTGCAATGGCCGATAAAATAGTATTTTTTTGTTACCTCCAAATATCCCATGCAAAAATACCATATATATATATCGATATATTATTAGTAATCTCTATATGTATATGTATTAATTTATGTGTAACATGGGCTGGTCACATTGTATTTAGGTTGATTATTTTCCTTATTTTGCGTGTGTAAAAATGTTGTGTTGTGAAAAGCGCAATTTTATGGCAATGTCTATATAGTTTGTCAACCAGCTAGTGGCTAATGTGCATGCCAATAATGTTAACCGTTTGACGGCATTATTGCAACTGCATGGCAGCGCCTGTCTAGCCAAACAGCAGCCCCAGCACAAACTGAAGGCGTGTGAACGAAGCGAGCGAGCGTTTCAGCGCAGAGTGGAGCGGTGTGTGTGGAGTGAGGAGTGAGGAGTGGAGCGGAGCGCAGCGCGTTTTCTGTGTGTTTTGTGTGTGTATATAATGGACAAGTTAAAAAACAACAACAAAGAACATGCAGTTATTGCATCAATTGAGTGCTCCTATACCAACGCTGCTGACACCGATGTCGATGTGGAAAGCAATAAGAGCACGCCCACACCATATTTTACGCCCCTCGAATATTTACAGACCTCCTTTGAGTTCCCATCGCCAACAACTCCAGCCGCAGCAGCGACATCTGATGTATGCGATGAGGAGCCACTGTATACACCGAAACAGTTTACAATTTGCAATCCTAAGCAGCAGCAACAGCAACAGCAGCAGCATTCAACACAATTACCGCAATCGCCGACGACGCTAAATCGTAAATTTAAGCGATTTTCTTCATACGATCGGCGTTCATGTTCGCCGCAGGACGCAGGTCGTATATTTGCCAACAAGGAAAATACGATACCAAAAAAATGCAGCACCGATAACGATCACGATAGTTTGTATTTATCGAAAAGCGAACATAACTCACCCACAATCCTTTTTAGAGATGACAGCTCAACGACGACAACAACAACTACAACATCAACAGCAACAACAACACCAAATCTCCTTAACGACTCGAGCCGCCTTAGCTACTCACCCAAATTGCTCGCCTCCATAAATAATTTGAATTTGAATCATTCGTTAAGCGGCTCACCGCTTAACATCATTAATTCGGCTGGCTATAAAAATGGGAATTTCTTTCGCTTTCCCGAAATCGATCATGTGGTGCAGGATATGGTGGCAGTGCAGACGCCACCGATTGCTGCCCTGGCAACCGAAGAACCTGACAATCAGCAACAGCAGCAAGCAAAGCAAGCTGTCACAGCGGAAACGGGTCGACGCAATCGCAAGAATAAAAACAATCTCACGATACGCATCACAGATGTGCAGTTGGCCAAGCCGTTATCGCCATCCAAGCCAAAGACGCCCACGATTAAGAGCACAAAGGAGAAGGCACGCTCTTTGGACTCCGCTGCCAACGAGACGGAGCTGTCGATTGTGGTGCATCCCATCAATGAATCTCATCCCATGCCGGGCAGCAGCGGTGGGCATGGACATGGACATGCCATGAATCAAAGCAATATGTTGATGCAGCCAACTGCTTCCAGTTTGCACTCCACTTCACTCTCACGTCTAGATACACAACAGTCGCTGCAGAATCGACGCACCACGCGTCGCAAATCGCCGGGCTTAAACAACAGCGATTGGCAAATGTATCATCGCAAACATAATCCATATCAGAGCTCGTTAGATGCGGATGAACTAAAGTCGGCTTCGAGTGTGGACAGCAGCAGCAACAACAGCGGCAAATTTACGCTTGGGGCCACTCTGGCACCACGCAGCGCACACAAATTGAATCCCATGCTGCACTCATCAAGCACCAATTTGAAAACGCTGCCTGAGTGCTTGACCTTAGTGGAGTTTACACCCTGTACAGCAGCTGTAGAATCGCCTTTTAAGCAAAAGTCTATGGATTTACCTGGCAAGAGTATAGCCCATGGCTCGATGAATCTTTTACAACGTCGTGGCTCGAATCACAGTCTCACATTGAATCTGCACAGCTCTTGTGGTAATTTAATGAACAGTGGCTTCAGTGTCTCGAATTATAGCTTGGGCTCTGTCAGCAACTCCAAGTCTAGCTGCAATCTGGAACAGCAGCAGCCGCACAATCAGCAGCAGCAACAGCCGCTTAATCAATTAACTGTCGCTGCAGGCAGCGGCCAGGGTACGCGTCAGGGCTTGTTTCGGCGACGTGGATCAAATCACAGTATAACCTTACAGAATCACACAACCAACTCGTGCGGAGAGCTCAACTCCATGGCCAGTCAGACGACGCCCAAGCGTGGCTTGCTCGAGCGACGGGGCAGCAATCAAAGTCTTACGCTTAATATGAGCGGTCAGCTGAGTGTAGCAGGTGGAGGAGGAACTCTGGATCAAACGCAGCCCAAGTTAACTGTGTGCAGCTGTGGTGCAGCCAATGCCGCTCAAGCGACGCATCAGCGCAAGTTTTTCAGCACCGAGAATTTGAATAGCAATCGTAGTGGCAATAACTCACAGTATTTAGATTTCAAGCAGCCGCTTTGCTTTGGTTCGGCCTCCGATTTGCAGCCCAGCGAGCAGTCGAAGAACAAATCGCCCATAGGAAATGACGAGTCGGGCGTTGTGCTTTGCAGCTGTGCAGCTGGTGGTGGCGGAGGAGGCGTCATACGGAATATAATGACACGTCCTCTCTCACCACAAACGACGAGCGAGGAGTTCAAAATCTATTTGGCCAGCATACAGATGCTGCAGAGTGCCTCGAATCCGCTCAATCAGTACGATCTGATCAAGCTGAATCATGTGTTCGATCACAGCTATAAAGTGAATTTGGAGCAGCCGCCGGTGTTGGTGCTTGGACGTGAAGGCGGCACGCCCACAAATCAAGTGCCGCCCACATCCGAAGATAGCGAACTCCTGAACATGTATCAAACGGTAGTCAAACGAATTGTAACACCCTTACCACATCTGGAGGATGATGAACAGAAGCGTATATTTCGTGATTTGCATAAGGAATTTTGGGATTTACCATTGAATCATCAGGAAAAGCCCATGGTATTAGGTTCGCAGACAAAGAATCGCTACAAAACGATTCTGCCCAATGAACAATCGCGAGTTATACTCGAGAGTGAGACGACGGAGCTGCTCAATTTGCAGAGCTGCTGCCTGTTGCAGCCACAAACTGCAAAAAACGAGGAGCTGATGAGCAAAACAACGCTGCTGGCCAACGAGGATTTGCCCTACATCAATGCCAATTACATCAAGGTAGGAGAGAGTGGAAATATAGAGTCAGTCACATGTTAACTTAATAATCATAATTTAATTTCAGGGCCCGGACTATGTGTCCAAATGCTACGTGGCCACGCAGGGACCTCTGCCGAATACTATTTTCGAGTTTTGGCTCATGATCTATCAGAATACACAGCGTTATATACGACGTTGCATGGATGGAGGCAGCAGTCCGCATGTAGATAGAACTCACATCTTGCAGCAATATTATCAAAAGATCGTTATGCTAACAAATTTTACGGAGTGCAATCGACAGAAGTGTGCCATCTATTTTCCAATTGAGCTGAACGAGATCTTTGCGGTGGCCGCCAAGGGAGAAGTGTTTGAGCTAAGCGCGCTGGCACGCGACTATTTTGAGCCGTATCTGATGTCAATGCAAGAGAGCGACGAGTCAGGATCTAATCTCGGTAGTGCACTGCAGCCGGAACGGGAGCAGCTCAACAGTCGCTGGCACATAGCCATCGATTCACAGAAGGTGACGCTAAGCGAATCTCTGCGTCGCTCACTGCCCGCTAATGGCAGTTTCTTTTTGGCCAAAAATGTGGGTATTGTGCGACGAAATGGCTATTCCGTGCGCAAGCTAATCCTGCTCTACTGCATCAACGTGCCGGACAGTGTGGGCTTGCTGGAGTATTATTTGCAAAAGATTTGCTGCTATCATTACTGGTATCCCGATTGGCCCGATCATCATTCGCCGAGGGACATTAACACCTTGCTGGACACCTGTTTGCATGTGTTGAATCTTGGCAAATGCGAGGCGGAATTTGATAATTACGATGATAAGCGTAGCACCCGGAATGCACATCTTAGCGCTCAACGCTTGGAGATCTACAAGCAGGACATCTTTAATGCGGTGCAACCGTTGCCAGTGATACATTGCTCGGCGGGCATTGGACGCACAGGTTGCTTCACGGCCATACTCAATGCAGTGCGTCAGCTGCGACAATCTTTGGCTTACTCCCTGACTGGGATGCTTACAAAAACGCTGACCATCAAGGATATGGAGTGCACACAGTATGGCAGCGACGAGGATAGTGAATCTAGCTTTAGCTGCAATACTCTACTGCATATACAGCATATTGTTGAGCAGCCGGATGCTGTTAGCTTCGATCAGCTGCCCAAGATGCCAGACATCTTTGTTGACATCTTGGGCATCGTTTGCAATTTACGGCTGCAACGCGGCGGCATGGTTCAGAACTCTGAACAATATGAGCTAATACATCGAGCCATTTGTCTCTATTTGAAGCGCACTTTGGCGCTGCGACGTTTTTAGATTAGTTACAAATTGATTACATATTTGATGACAATGTTTAACAACATGACGACGATGATGATGATTAAGATATAGTTGTAGATGATGATGATGATGATGATGATGAAGTTGAAGAAGAACAAAACACCAATTTACTATTTGTAAAAGAAACCTTTTTGTGAACCTTATTTAAAAAAAAGCAAAAAAAAAATGAAAAAAAAAATTAGTAAAAAAGAAGAAAACCAACAACAACAAACAACAAACGCGAATAACCATGGCTAAAAGAGTCTCGAACATTATATACTTATATACATTAAACAAGATAAGCAAAAGGAATATAGTTATATATAGCAGACTTGCAATGCGCCTGCTATATAAACTTATTATCTATTACTACACATTATTATGATTACGAATTATTATTATTATTATGAAGATGATTATTATAAATGTTTATTAAGTGTTTTTTGAATGTATGTGGTGTGCATGTATAATGTATGTACATAAGTGTAAATGTTTTTTCCATTTTTTTCGGTGTGAGCAACAAACAAAACAAATGAAAAACAAAACCCCTATGCTTAAAACAACAACAGCAAAAGAACAACAACAGCTACAAACTAAATTTAATTCAACTAATTAATTTCCTTACCTTACCTAACAAAACAACAGTAAGAAAACACACACACAACAACCAACAACAACAACTGTGAGTTGACAATCTTTTGTTGGGGGATACCGTGAAAAGCTCAAACCCTTTATCAAGTTGTTTCGAAGCTACACGCTTCGTTTCTAACTGACTAAAACACCAATTTTCACGGCATTTTCCCAACTGTCAGCTCGACAGTTGTTGATGTTGTTGTTTGCTACTTTAAGGGCCGAATCCATAGACACAGCTAGAGTTCTTTCATGACAAAAACAGAAGAAAATTATATTGAAAAGAAAAAAGAAAACAAAACAAAAAAATAATTGAAACTTGAAAACTTGTATTAATGTTTATGCAATGGAACTAGTCAAATAAAACTTAGAAACATTTTAAATGTAATTATAAATGTGTAAAAAAAAAGAAAGCGTTTTACTGGTTCTAACTGGGTTGAAGTACTATTATCTAGTTAAGTAAGAAGTATATCTGTACATATATAAATTTCTTGCTAAATTCTTTTGTTTTTATGTTGAAATATTGTAGTTTATAGCTCTATTTTATCTATTTCTTCATTTCATTAAATGTTTCTACAATCGTTACCATATATATATGTTGATTCCATGACTTCCAATATGATCAATGTATATTTTGGAATTGATCACAATTTATATTTAATTATAAATAACAATAATTTACTTATAGCTCCGACTGGTCTTCAAAAATTGACATATTTGATATATTTCTTCAGTTTCAGTATTTCGCTTCTAAATTTCTATACTTCATGCGTGTAAAATCAACCTCTTGTGCCCATTGACGGGTTAAAGCGTCAACAGCTGATTATGTTTGGCTGGCTAAAGTCCATTGCGAAACAACATATGTATTTTGAACGGGTAATTGCTTAAGATTAGACATTTTTCTGTTAACTAAGTTGAGCTAATAAGTATGTGGGGACTCATAACAGTCCGACGTGGACATTACACAGCCAGGTATTTCAGATTATACAGCAATAGTATGAAGGTAAGCGTGCAAAAGCTTTTAAAAATAAAATCAAATTGATTTGTTTTTCTACGATCCGCAGGTGAAAGTGTCTGTGAAGCAGGGTGTCCTGGTTGGACAACGGGAGCAGCTAGCGAATGGCTTTCAGTATGAGAGCTTTCTCGGTGTGCCCTATGCCCAACCACCTGTGGGTGAGCTACGTTTTCGGGTGAGTGCAGCAGTTGAGAATCTTTTTGATATTGACTAATAAATTAATCCATTTAGAGCCCTCTGCCACTGGACCGTTTCCCGGAACCGGAGCTGGATTGCAGCAAAGAAGGCAATGTCTCGCATCAGCGTGACCCATTTACCCTTGAAGTAGTTGGCTCCGAGAACTGTCTGTTCCTCAATGTCTATGTGCCCAAGAGCAAGTCACAGAAGCCGCTGCCCGTCATGGTCTGGATTCATGGTGGAGGTTTCTGGTTTGGCAATGGCAACAGGGATTAGTGAGTGGAACCTTCAAAGTTATATTTGAAGTTATCTATCTTACTCTCGTCTACAGCCACTTTCCTGCGCAGCTCATGCAAGAGGAGGTCATTGTGGTTACGTTGAACTATCGTCTTGGAGCCTTGGGATTTCTCAGCTTGCCCGAGGCGGGTATTTATGGCAACGCGGGTCTGAAGGATCAACGCTTAGCTCTGCAGTGGGTGCAAGATAACATTGCCAACTTCAATGGTGATCCACAGAATGTTACCCTCTTTGGAGAGAGTGCGGGTGGTGCTTCAGTGCATCTGCATACGTATGCCGCGCATGCCAATAAACTATTCCACAAGGCAATCATGCAGAGTGGAACATCCAACATGGATTGGGTGTTCCAAGATAATGCTTCATACAGGGCGCGACGTCTAGGCGAACTATTGGAGGGCAAGAATATAGATAAAGATACTCAGTTGCTGGAATTCTTGCAATCAGAGGCGGCGACCCCATTGGCGATGCTAGCGAGAACTTTGGATGTACTGACTCCGGAGGACCGTCGTCGACAACTGCCGCTCGCTTTTAAGCCCGTTATCGAAGATCCCAGTAGTCCGGATAGTTTCATAAGTACGCCGATTTTGGATCTAATGCATGAAAAGGAACGCTTGAGTGGCATGCCTCTCCTGATGGGCTATAACTCGGGGGAGGGCATATTCATGATTGTGCCTGCTAGACGTAAGCTGGAGCTTTACAATGAGGATTTGGCGCGTTTGGTACCGCGCAATCTGGTGGTCAAACCGGAGGCACCAGAAGCGTTGGAAGCGGCCGAAGATTTGCGTCAATTCTTCTTCAATGGACAGGATGTGACTGTTGAAAACCTGGTCGATATCTTCACTGATTATTTCTTTAACATCGATCTTCAGCATGCTGCTGAGATTCATGCCAACTGCCAGAGGAATTCTCCCCTCTATTTCTACCGCTTCGACTATGTGGGCGGACGGAATATATACAAAAGCATGTTCCAAGCGAATGATTTGCGCGGAGCTTCACACGGTGATGAACTGTTTTATCTATTCCAAATGTCGGAGAACGATGCTGCACTGGAGCCAGCGGATGCGGAAATGACAAAGCGTATGTGTCACATGTGGGCGAATTTTGCGAAGCATGGTAAACCGTCAGACAGCTGGACGCCAGTGCAAAGACAAAGGCGAAGCGCCAATGGAGAGCTGGAGCCCTTTCAATTGGACTACATGCTATTGGATCGGGAATGCAAAATGCAACGAAATCCAGACGGGGAGCGTATCGATTTCTGGCGCAGCATGTACAAAAGATATAGATCAAAATGCTATGCAGCATTAAGAGCTAAATTGTAACGGATATTTTGCATAACTATATGCATAAAACTTTGATATTGCCATTTTAAACTGCTCATCAGTGTATCGATATATTTGTAGTATTTTAACTCATAGTATATAATAACTTCGATAAATAACAATGCCTTCCATATATCGATATAATGAAGATCTATCAGCTGTTTATCTTTGAGTACAAAGATCAGTAATCAACATATTCAAAACTAAGTTGTAAATGTAAACTGATAAATTTTTATATACATAAAGACATACATGTGTGGTTGCAATAATGCGCAGTTTATTTGCCTTGCAACGTGGTTATGCAACCAATAACCTTCGATTTTACAGCAATGTGAAGGTAGGACAAAATAACCATTGTTGAACCATTTAAAAATCTATAATTCATTAATTTACCCACAGGTGAAGGTGCATGTGAGACAAGGCATTGTTGTTGGCACACATGCAAAGCTGCCCAATGGCGTAGAATACGAAAGTTTTTTGGGCGTGCCCTATGCAGAGCCACCCGTGGGAGAGCTTCGTTTTCGGGTGGGTGCATCAAAGCAAAACTATTGATCACCTACAACCATTTCACTTATAATAGAGCCCTGTGCTGCTGGAACGATTTAAAGAGCACGAGCTAGACTGCAGTAAGGAAGGTGATGTCTCGCATCAGCGGGATCCACTTAAGCAGCAAGTGATTGGTTCCGAAAACTGTCTGTTTCTCAATATTTATGCACCCAAGAGCAACTCACAGAAGCCGCTGCCCGTCATGGTCTGGATTCATGGTGGTGGCTTCTGGTTTGGTAGTGGCAATAGGGATTAGTGAGTGGAATTTTGCTTATTTTATTTAAAATATCTCTAACCGTAGCTTTACATTTACAGTCACTTTCCTGCACAGCTCATGCAAGAGGAGGTCATTGTGGTTACGTTGAACTATCGTCTTGGAGCCTTGGGATTTCTCAGCTTACCCGAGGCGGGTATTTATGGCAATGCGGGTCTGAAGGATCAGCGCTTAGCTCTGCAATGGGTGCAAGATAACATTGCCAACTTCAATGGTGATCCACAGAATGTTACACTTTTCGGAGAGAGCGCAGGCGCTTCTTCCGTTCATATGCACATGTACGGGCCGCATGCCAACAAGCTGTTCCATAAGGCCATCATGCAGAGCGGCACAGGAAATTCAGAGTGGGTACTCCAAGAAAATGGCCCCTTTAAGGCACGACGTCTAGGTGAACTGCTGCAGGGCAAGAATATAGAGACGGATTATAAATTGTTGGAATTTTTGCAATCGGAGGAGGCGACACCATTGGCGATGTTAGCGAAAACTTTGGACGTACTGACTGATGATGAGCGACGGCGCCATCTGCCGTTTTCCTTCAAGCCCGTGGTGGAGGATCCAAGGAGTCCAGATAGTATTCTAAACAAGCCATTCCTTGATCTCTTGCATGACAAGGAGAGATTGCCTGAAATCCCCGTCCTACTGGGTTACAATTCGGCAGAGGGAACAGTTCTGATAACGAATCCGAAGCAAAAGGTTGAGCTCTTTGATAAAGATATGGTACGCTTAGTGCCACGCAACCTGGTTGAGGATCCAGAGGCGCCTGAGGCGTTGGAAGCAGCAGAAGACATACGTCAATTTTATTTTAATGGAAAGTCGCCGACGATCGAATGCTTTGACAATTTGGTGGATTTGCTGGGCGATGTGCACTTTAATCTTGATCTACAGCACACAGCAGAGGTGCACGCAAGTTTCCAGAAGGTGCCATTCTACTTCTATCGCTTCGACTATGTAGGCGGTCGGAACATGTACAAAAAAGCCTTTCTGGCAGATAAACTCCGTGGAGCTTCGCACGCCGATGAACTTTCCTACCTATTCCAATGGTTTAATGATAATTCACTTTTAACTGCCGATGATGCTCAAATTTCGAAGCGTATGGGCCATATGTGGGCTAACTTCGCGAAATATGGTAAGCCAGCGGATAGCTGGACACCAGTTCAGAAGCAAAAGAGAGATGCTAATGGAACACTCGAGCCTTATCAATTAGATTATATGCAACTAGATCGAGAGTGTAAAATGCAGCGGAATCCGGATGGAGAGCGTATGGATTTCTGGCGTTACATGTACAAAAAATATAAGCCTCAATGTTATGAAGCGTTGATGGCCAAAATGTGAAAGATCTTATATATTCATTGTTAATTATTATTTTAAATGAAATTAATTTGATATTTATAAAATTTTAATTGTTATCGATATCAAAATACTCAAATCCAATCGTACAATATGTTGATAAAGATTTCAGATTTCGGAGCATTTCTAATTCGTTCTGGTAACTATAAGTTTTGAAAAGTTATCTTTAAGATGTAACTTGCCACTAAATAAGTGTCTGCGAACAATAAATTATTTCAAATAAAACTATTTCGATATTATATTAATTTCATTATTATCGATATTAGAAAATACTAAAATTCAGTCGTGCAATAGCGTAATACTAACATATATCGAGAGTGTAAATAAATAAAGTGATACCGATAGTTAGTGGTTGGTTATTCTTAGTCATGGGTGCATTGTTTGGGAAATCTAGTAAAAAGACAGCTCCAAGTCGCATTACAGACCATGACAAAGCCGTGTTGGTAAATGCAACTTATTTTTAAGATATCTGTTGTTTGTAATATGTATTAAGCATTTCATAAATTGTAGCAATTAAAGCAGCAACGGGATCGTCTGAAGCAGTATCAAAAACGCATCGAGCTACAGTTGGAAAATGACAGACTACTCGCCAAGAAGTGCCTGCAGCAGGGTAGAAAAGAGTAAGAAGCTTTAAGAAAACACACGAGAATCATTTGGTTAATCATTGTTCAAACATAACAATCATTTTAGTCGCGCGAAACTGCTGCTGCGCAAAAAGAAATACCAGGAAAGTTTGCTCACGAATGCGGACAAACAGCTGGAAAACTTGGAGAAATTGGCCGCAGATTTAGAATTCGCACAGGTGGAAATGAAGGTGTTGGATGGCTTGAAGCAGGGCAATGCTGCCCTGAAGAAGGTGCACGATATGCTGAACATAGACGAAGTGGAGCGCATAATGGACGAAACACGCGAAGGCATCGAAAAACAACAGGAAATAGATGCCATCCTAACAGACGTGTTGACCACCCAAGATGAGGAAGATGTGCTCGCCGAGCTTGATGCCCTGGAGGCTGAGGAGCAAAACATACAATTGCCCGAAGTGCCCAGTGACGAGCTGCCAGCCAAAGCTGTCGAGGAGATGGAAGAAGTGGAGGAACTAGACGATGATCAAGAGCCAGATCAGGAGAAAACTGCAACCAAAGCAAGCAAAGCAAAGGCAAAGAAGATATTAGTGGAGGCCTAAAAGCTTAATGCCATTTACTTTATTCAACTAACTAAGCTTAAACTTTTTGTATATGTATTTGTACATATAATCCATGTATGTCTCGAGGCGTATGTGCAACATATATATTTTTATATAAGAATATTGCAACCAATTTGTTAACACTAGCACTAAGAGCACACAACTTCTTCACGGTGACGATTTCATGCAGAAGAAGCTGCTGGAGAATTGTAGCACAAGTTCAGCAGTGACAGCTGCAGATGGAGGAGCAACAGACGAAAGCACTGAAATTGCCAATGACTTGTTCAAGAAGGCCTGCATGCTCTTTTCTTTATTCATCTAAGTAAGCTTAAGCTCTTTGTAAATGCACTGTACATATATAATCCATATACTTCTATACTTAGATACATATATATATATATTTATATATACATGTATCTCTATCCTATCAAACTATCGTGTCGACCAACGCGATTGCCAGAGCGACGCACATCTTCTCTAAGCCTGGAACGCAAACTCTTGTTCTCAATCCGCAAACTCTCGATCTCCTCGAGCAGCAAGCAATTCTGCTTGAACAGTTTGTCGTACTTCTTCTGCACGGTCTTATCCTCGGCGACAGTCTTGTAGCGTGCCAGGACAGTTTCGATTTGCTTGCGCTGTCTTAAGAACTCATCTCGCACCTCGGCATCCAGGGTAACGAAACGCTTCAATTCATCATCGCTGGCATGTTGATGGAATAGCGCCTTGACGGCCTTCTTCAGGCCATCCACCGTGCTCACCTCGCCGGCCACATAAAAGATGTCCGTGCAGATGGAATTGAGGCATTCTCTGGCGGACTTGGCGCGGTGTCTCTCCGAGCGCAGTTCGGCTGCATTGCTCAGGTACTTGTCACGCATCTCCTTCAGCTGCAGCTCCAGCTGGATGTTGTTCTGATTGAGACCCTCCAGTTCGTGTTCCATTTCGATGATGTGTTTCCGTTTGTCATTGATCTGGAATTCGCGTGGCTCGATCTGTGCCTTGAGCTCGGCAATCTTGTGATTGAGCACCTGTTTGTATTTGTCCAGCTCTTGGTTCTTGTGCAGCAGCTCCTGGATGCGCTTCTCCTTTGCGCCGATGGCATAGTCACGATCCGAAATATCCTTTTGCAGATCCTCTATATTGCGCAGTTGTTTCTGCATCTTCATTTGTGACTTGATGTGCTCATCCTTCAGCGTTTCCACCTCCTCCAGCAGCGTATCAATCTCATGGCACTGCGATTCGTATTTCTTTTGGAGCACACCCGCCTTGCCACGCCACATTTGCGTCTCGTTTCGCTCCGTGGTCAGCTTGTTCTCGTATTCCGTCTGGGTAGCAACCATGTTGCGATCGTTCTCTGCCTCCACCTCTTGGCAGTACTTGATGAACTCATCCTTCTTGTCCTGCATCTCCTTCATCAGCTCACGGATGAGATCCTTGCGTTCGTCCAGCTGCTTCTTGTAATCGTTTTCGAGTGCCTCTATCGTATCTTGCAACGTGCCCGTCGAGTTCTTCAGCTTATCCTCGTAGCTCTCGCGCAGCTCCAGCATGTTCTCTCGCAGATTGGTGAACTTTTGGTATTCGATGAGCATACGCTCCGAATACTGACTGGCCAATACGTCCATCTGGGAGCGATGGTCCTGTTTCATATCGTTGATCTGGAATGTTATGAGATTCATTTCCTCCGTATGCTTCGACACTATCTCGTTGTTCAGCTCCTTGAGCTCCTCCAGAGCGCTGCAATAGCTGCGATGCACCTCCTGCAGCTGCTGCCCATCAAAGATCTCATTCTGGCTCAACTGATATTGGAACTCATCCGCCTGCTGCTTGAGACGCAGCTCGAGATTGGTAATCTGCTCCACCTTGTCGCTGAGCTGGGTGCGTGGTATCAACACCTCTTGGCTCTTCATCAAATCCTGATCAATGGGCGCCACCTTCCCATCAATGTTCTCCATATTCCAAATGGCCACAGTGCCACGTTTCGATATAGCCACCAGCATCGTTCCATCATATGTGAATCTCAACTTACTAATGGGTCCGTCGAAGAAGCGGAAATTGGTGAAGGTACCACCGCCAGCTTCGAGGAACGGCAACTGCATATTGAACAAGCCGCCTTCATGATCCGCTATGAACATGATCAGATCCGAGCGAGCCAGACACATATCGGACACAGATCCCTTATTACGGGATGGCACAGTTATTTCACGCTGCAACGTCGAGGCCTGGAACTCGCGTATGGTGCCATGATTTGTGCCCGCAAAGATGGTCATCGGCTCGTTGAAGCTGACGCAGATAGTCACATATTCCGTGCCCTTCTGCACGATCTCCTGCAGTCGGGTGCCCGTCTCAATGTCCCACTGGTAAATAGCGCCCTCAGCGCCACCCGAAATCAAGTACTTGTCCGTTTTCGTCCAGGCCACAGATAAGACGTTGCCATTGTGTCCCTTCAAATGGATGACCACATCGAGGCTATATACCGAAGTCACAGATATATTGTTATCATAAGCAGCAGCCATCAAGTGTCCAAAATTCGAGTATTTCACATCGTTGCAGTGCGGAAAGTTGTATGTTTTGACGATCTACAGCCAAATGAGAGAGAGAATTCAGAGAGAAAATCAATTACTTATTTGTATTACATAAAAATAAATTAAATAATTACAAAGCAACTTATTAACATTTTGCATACAACAATTATTAAATATTCTATTTAAATACTAGTTAACAAAACTACTTAATTAAATTCACCACTTCACTACACAAAACTGCAACTGCTCAGCTCGAGCTCTGGCCCGCGACTGAAGGCGATCTGCAGCAACTGCACTTTTTATAGGTAAGCCTCACTCAAAATCCAACTCACTCAAAATCCAACTCACCCAAAATTCCACTCACTCAAAATTCAACTTACTCAAAATTCAACTCACTCAAAATACATCTCACTCAAAATTCAACTCACTCAAAATTGAACTTACTCAAAATAAAGAAGAGAGGCTCACTCCAAATAGAAAGAGCAGATTTAAGACCTTACTAAGATTCTCTTTCAAAATGCTAAACAGCCTTGAGTGCACTTTTAAAATGGCGAATGGCTCAATAGAGAGAACAGCTCAAGAGTCTTTTTTCTGAAAGTGCTCAAGTGTAGAGGGGAATAAGTTTATGGAATATAGAGAAAGAGATTAAGGTGAACACACTTCTGTATATATACATATATATATATATATATATATATATATATATATATATATATAATAAGAGAAAAACTGATATATATATATATATATATATATGCATATATACAGTCTTGGATAAACTTACATTCAGCTCATCCATAAATATCTGTGTGATGCGCAGCTGATCTGAGAAGCCAATAGCTGCCATTAAGCCCGTGGAATTCAGTTCGACAATATTCACATCCACCTGGAATTTGCGCACCAGCTCCACCTTGCCAGTCTCATAGTTCCAAATGCGTATGGTTTGATCTCTTGCTGAAAGAAGGTTACACATGAAGGTGATATAAAAATGAGCTAAGGAATACTTACAGGCCGTCATTATAATGGGCTTCCAGGCGCAAACAGAGAGATCGACCACTTCGCCAATGTGTATGAGCACGCCGAGTGGCTCAAACTTGAGTTGTTTCGTCTTCAGAGTCTCTGGCACGATGAGGATTCCCACATAGATCTGAGCATGGTTGCAGCTCACAATGACCGTCTCCTGCTTATGATCGACGGCTAAATTTGTGATCTGATATTGAGGCTCGGCATAGATGGTTATGGGCACAGTTAAGATCGTCTTTCGCTCAAATTTAAACTTGGAAACGCGCTCGAAGACGAAAACCTTGTTGAAAATGATAAAGGCAAAACCCCGGGTAAAGGCCGTCATGCAGAGAACTCGCCAATCGGGCAGGATCATTGGCTGCAACGTAGAGTATCGCTGCTCCTGTGCCTCTCGCTCCTTATCGAACACCTCCTGATCTATCATCAGATCCACAGTCTCTGCCACACTCGCCTTTTGCGACAGCTTCAGTTCGCCATTTTCAACTAATATCAACTGATCACGATCAGTGCCCATCATCAGCAGATCCATGGTTAAAAATGCCATTGAGGTCACTCGAAAATTGATCTTTATATTGTTGCTAATGGTGAATCCTCGCTCCGATTTGCTCAGCAGCAGCAAAGTGCGATCGCCTCCCACAGCGACAAATCCGCAATCATTGGGATTGCCTGCAATGCATTCGGCGCCACCATGCGAGCCAGGCAATGTGGCTCTGCCCTCGATGACAGTGCTCGTCTTGTCCAAGACCAACATAAAGACCATCTCATTGGGCGGTTTCGTGATCAGTATGATGGCACGCGAATCATTTGTGAATATCAATTGCTGAATCATTGCATTGCGATGATTTGCCGGTAACTCCAGATGGCGACGTTTCTTCAGCGTGGCCAGCTCATAGATAGACACATAGCGACCACTAGAAAGAGATAGAGTCAGTAATTAGTTAACCAAGCAGAATAAGCTAAGCCTCTTATTTACTTCTTTGAGTGCAGTTCGAGGACAGCCATCAGCTTGCGATGTGAGCTTAGGACAATTATTTCCGCTTTTGTATCCTCGGGAAAGCGTAGGAATCTCTGTTTGTTGGTCACATAATCATGGAAGGCCAGAACACCCTCGACCGGATACATGACCTCCTTGGTCAGATTGAATTGTATGTTGCCAATGACATCGGTGCGCAGGCCGTAGATTTGTTTGGGCCTTATGGACACCGAATGAGCTATAGAACCTCGCTTTTCATCCATTTTGTACAAAATATGTATATTTTATTGACTGTGGCAAAAGTTAATGCAGTTTTTGGAGTTCGTGTATTTTAAGCTCAAATAATTTCGATCAAACAACGGAAGCAAGAAATTGTTAAAGTAGCCCTGACAGCAAATTCCATGGCATCCAGCCAGGGGAGGCCTGGGAAATCCAACGGCCTGTTTGTTTATTTTTGCATTGGCCTTTTTCTTTTTTGGTTTTGGCGCGCAAAGCTCGCTGTAATCAAAGAGTCATGAATAAGTAATTAAACGCCTCTAAGTATGCTTTTAATTTCCTAGAACGCACTCGAGTAGCTTGCTCTCTCCCTTTTCACCCCTCTCATTGGTCGTCCAATAATGCGCTTAAAAACCCAAAGTTCGTCTCCTCAGTCAATCAGTCGCCCAATCAGGCTCTGAGTCAACCCGTTGTCAGTTAATAAAGCATACATCCCTCTCCCTCACACGCAGCAATCTTAGTCGGTCGAAACCGCGACCTAACACAACGCAAAAGCTTTTCAGTTAATCAAAGAGCGCGCATGTAAGAGCAAAAGCTCGCACTGCAAGAAATAAGGTGTAAGCAAATATGGAGCCTGTCAGCTATTTTTGTCCACTGGCCGTATTTCGAACAGTGCAGCCCTCGTGCTCTCTTTGCATGCGTAAAGAGGAACGCAATAAACGAAGGCGCGCTGCTGTTCAGTTGTAGTTTACGCGTCGGCCGCAGCACAACGCTAACGAGCAGGCGGATAAACGGTATACGAATAACGGAGACAGAAACAGAGACAGTGGCGACATAGGCGAAGCGCAGCTCCAGACTGTATGTGCTCTGCCAGCATTTGTTCTTTAGTCTTGTGTCTGTGTTATCAGTTTGGCGGCAGCAAAAGACCAAATCGTTGAAGAGCAGGTGGCAGCAACTGAGCCGGCGGCAAAAAAAGCCACAAAAGAACCCAAGTAAATTATACACTTAGAAGCAGAAAATACAAATATAAATACAAATACGTGTGCGAAAATATATATTTTGTTAAGCACTTATATCTTATACACACACACTCACACACATACATATATATATGTATATATTTTGGAGTGGCTGTTAGTGTGTGCCTGTGTGTGTTTTAGCTGCCTACCTTCTGTGTCTGTGTGAGTGTGTTTGCCTGTTCGCGCCTCTCAATTAACGGCCCGGTCAAAGCGCGAGGCTTGAGCCACATTGGTGTTGCTGCTGCAGATGTTGTTGTTGTTGGTGTTGTTGTTGGTGTTGTTGTTTAGCTGCATGTTAAGCCAATAAATGGCATTAAAATTTAAAAAAAAAACGGTAATTGTAACGAAACAAAGCAAAACTGAACGAAACAAACGGCCGCTAATGGACTTTGTTGATTTTATATTTCATGCAGGAAGCGGCTGCAATAACAACAACAACAGCAACAACAATGAGAATGAAAACCAAGGTGAAACAGCTAAAAGAGATGAACGGCAGCTGTCGTAATTAAAAACTCATTTTATGCACATGTTCAATGCGAATTTCAAGTTAATGGCAGAGCGTGGGTGTGTGTGTATATATACTATATAAATCTTATAAATCTTTTTCATCTTTGGCTATTAGCACGTAGCACGTAACGCGCCAAAATAACACGATTCCAGTATTTATAAACAAAGCTGCTGCCAGTGTATAAACACACAAACACACACACACACACCCGCGCACACATACATATATATACGCCTACAACGGTACAAATTCGAATTTAAGTTTCGAAAAGTCAAAACACGGCAAATGATTTTTTTTTGTAATTTCTTCTCAATTTACAAATAAATTCGCCGCTTGTCGCTACCGATGCCGCAATTGCCGCCGCAGCCATCGCCGCATTGTTGCGTGAGTTGCCGCTGTCGTTGCTGCTGCTCTTGCTGCGGCTGCACATGTGGAAATGTTGAAATGTGGCAATTTATTTATACGATTTATGTTATTTTTGGCCTGAAGCAGCGGCGAAGTAAATTGCACGCAGCGAAATCAGTTCAAGCACGCTACACACGTACAAACTCAGGCATACATATATACATAAATACAAATATGTAAAAATACTCGAGGTACTCGCTGTGAAGAACCTATGACAACACAAATGTACGTACGTATGTATGTATTTTCGTATATTTGTATGTATATACACACTGGCAAGCGACACACTTTCGAAATTCCAAAGGGAATGGCAATGCAAAGAGGCGGAGAAGGGAGAAGGAATAGAGAGGCAAAGCCAGCAGCAGCCAAAAACGAAGGGAACCTTTAACAAAAGCAACATGGCGCATAGTTGCCGTTAGGGATTTGTTGTGGATGGGGGAGCTAACGAATTTTCAGCAGCAGCAACTCAGCTTAAAGTGCATGGCCAAGGCACACACACACAGTTCACTTACGTACGGACATACACACACGCACGCACATGCATATGCCAGAGCGCGCTTTTCGGCGCTGAATTTGAAGCAAGTGCTTTTTTGTTTTTTTACGAGCAGCCCAGCAAATAATAGCATTTTATGTGAGCTCTCTACACCGTTTTACTACAATACACTGAGCGAAATAAAAAAGATGAATAATTACAAAAGATAAGCCACATATTAATGCAAAGTCAAGTTCGTACAATGCGAGCACAAATTAAATTTTACGCTCAATTATTTATGCAAGTGCACTGACTGCACAACAGAGCGAACAGCTTAAGTTTATCACTGAAACAGTAAAGTACAGCTAAGAGCGCTCTTAAATTTTGCGCAAACAGCTTAAGCTTAATAACTCACTCATTAATTGAGTTTTAAACGTAGCACAAATTGAGCTGTTTCTCTCAGTGACCGAGTGAGCACACGCAGACACACACAGGGATTGGCTGTAGTTGAAGTTATAGCTGAATTAAGTTAAGCGCTGGACACACAAGCCTTTTGGGGTTAGTCAGCGACTAAGCTGACCTTTTTGTTAAGAGCACGCACACATGCACACGCACACGCACACAGAGACAACGGCAATTGTCTGGGGTACGCAATTTGATGTTAACACAGCTGATTGATTTATTGTCTGCTCAGTGGCTACCGCAAACACCAGCACAACGAAAAAAACAGTAACGCACAGAAAACTACAAAAAAATATTATACACAAACAACAACGTTGATCAGGAAAATGCCAAAAGTCCTCAATAAGCCGGAGTCGCAACGTGTGCAATAAAAAACAAAAATAACAAACAAACACACACAGACGCGCTCTTACAATAGCCGTAGACATGCAAGCGAAAGGGCTGCCCTGTGAATATGTATGTATGTATGTGTGAAGCGTGCGCTTGTATGCGTGCATGTATTGTCGCCATAATTAACAGTTGCGACGACGTCGCCGCCGACGACGGCGACGCCGATGACGACGACGTCAGCGGCGACAGCGCGTACTAGCCGCCATTTTAATTTTACGATAACTGTTTTCACCTACTTGTTTTCACTCATTCCTATTGTATGCGGAGTGCATGTGGCAGAGCACATACACACACACAGACACAACAATACACTCTCACCCACACATACTCATACTCCTTCGCTGCTTCAGTTGAAAATATTCTCGCAGTGCGTCACCAGCGTCACAGTGTTGAAATTATTTTCACAGCACGTCAGCAACATGCTTTTTATATGAATATACTATGTACCCCATTTGAATATATGTATAAAAAAAGGGTATTATCAAGTTGTCAATTGTGCTGCAAAGACAGTAGAATGCAGCTCAAGCATTCTCAGCTCGTAGTAACTTGAACTCTTTACATATCAAAATATTTCCTTCTTATGTATGAAAATGTGAAAAGTAAATACCCTAAAATTTTCGTACATGTATACATTTATTGTATGTATGCATTAAAAGTTTATTTCAATTATAAACACAAAAGTTAATTAAGGATACAATTTTCCATTGTTTAGCAGCAGACAAAGAGCGAAGAAGAGAGAGAGACAGAGTGAGCAAGCAAAAGTTGTTCATGCAGGTCAACTGTTAGTCGTGCAGACTCCCATTCACTCACTTCCTCTGTTTTAAGAGTGTCAAATGAAAATTTCTTGGAAAATTAACATTTAAATTGCGCTTAAATTCCAAAATGTTCAACAATCATTTGGCTCAGCATATCAAAGCGCGCGTGCTATAAAAATTGAATAAGAAATTCCTTCAGCTGGTTTACATAATTTCATACTTAATGACATCACACATACCTAATGCATTAGGTTATTTGTGTATATTTACATTTATATAGTTTTTCATTCATGTCAAATTATTTAGTTTGGCTAAGTCGAAGTTTACTAAAGTAAACTCATTTACAATTGCATCAATTAAGTTTGCCCTTTGGCCGACACACGTTCCACTGCCTGTAAGTGCCGTGTGACAGTTTAATGATGCCACGTATGTAATATGCACACACACATACAGACAGACAGGTGGACAACTTGGAGCGTCAGGTAGCCATCGTTACGTACGTGCGACCGTAAATCCCTGGACATCATGCCAGCACACTCAATCAAAGGGCGACGTTATATACCGCATTTAAGCTACTTAAACAACTTAAATGTATCAATATTCAATGCGACCCGTCGCTACTCAATGGCCGCCTCCCCTGCCTCTACCCACCTCACTCCACTTATCCCTAACTGAAACCCATTCATGAATTATTCTTTAGGGCATTTACTTGGGTACATTTTTTTCGAGCTTGCAAACTTTTTTGTTGAGATAAGCTGCAAATAAATTAACTGGCGCTTAGCTCTAACTCTGTGTTGATTTGTAACCATTTTATGCCTTTGCAGACAATTGCAAACAAAATTTAATTTAATTTTGTCGGAGCACTTGAACTGCTTGAGAATTTTAAATGAAGTTTGAACTCATAAAAAACTAACTGGAATTTTAGTGGAGACAAATTAGTTTTGGGTTTCTATGCATTTTCTGCTGTTGGGTTGCTTCAACTTTTTAAGAATTCGATGTGAAGTTTGTTCTAATAAGTATCTAACTGTACTTTTATTGCAGCCAAATTGATTGCTTTACTATTCGTTGTATGCATTGGCCCAAACTGCGACCAGTTATTAAGTTTGATTTTACTGTTTGAGAACTCTAAATATTTTTCTTTAATTATGGTGTAACTGTACTTAGTTATATGTAAATTCATTTCTGCTTTATAATTAACTTAAAGATTCATAGAAAGGTCTAAAATAAACTATAGAAACTTTGAAACTACATGGAATGTGTAAGCTTAACAATGATAAACTGTCGACAAACAATAAAATTCTGTAAATAGCAATGCTGTAAATCACTCTAACATTATATATATGTGATATATACACATAGATATATATATGTCTATATATAGCTACGAAAAATTCATGCTTGATCGAATGCGATTGCGTGCTAATGCAAGTCTTTCTAATTGAACGTGAAACGTGAGCGTGAATATCAAATGAAATTATGTATTAGAAAAGCACATTAGACAGGTGTGTGTGTGTGTGTATGTGTGTGTCTGTAGAACTGCGTGTTACATGTGGCGTATGCGCAATGTGTTGGGCCTGAAAGTATGCAGCACTTTGTTTGGTTTCAATTTTCGTAACGACAACAAGTCAAATTTATATATGAATAGCTATACTTAACATATATAATTTATACAGTAAAACCTCACTAGAACGAACAGCTAAATTGTTGTGTTGATATCAAGCAGTTAAATGAATAAAACATTTGATTTATTCAGTGTTAAATGTCAATAAAAGTTAGGAACTTAATAAGAAATTTTGCACAGCTAATTGCTGTTCATTGCTAGAGTGTTTACTGTGCTGTAGTAATTGTTCTGCTGTTTTTCTTTTACCTAAGCCTTCCTGCAAGCAATTTGACTAAACCATTTGCCAAGATGCTCATTAATAATCCACACAAACTTTGATTTATTACAGAAATAACAATAACAACAAGGAACAATAGTAATTAAGGCAAAAACGTGCCACGAAAAAACAAACAGAGAGAAAAACAAAGAAAAGTAAAGGGAAAAGCGCAACAAGAGGCGCAAAAATTAGCTGCTTAAATGCTGCTATAGCAATTAAGTCAACAACAAAAAGAACTGTTAACAAAATGCGCAATGCATAAAATTAAACAGACAACAACAACAACTACAACGACGACAACAACAACAAATCAAAAGACGGCGACGACAGGTGGAAAAGCTGTGCGAACCCCATGCAGCGCCGTCGCCGTCTCATCGAATTAATTCAACAGCACATAAATTGGCCGTTGGAAAAGCACGAAAATTGAAAAACCGAAAAGCGGAAAACTGAAAAAAAAACCAAAACAAAAGAATAAGTAAACACTCGAACAGAAAACAAAAAAAAACGTTTTTCAGTCTGAAATCAGCGACTGTCAACTGAACGATTGGCGTTTGGCGTTTGTCGTTTGTCGCTTTTTATTGATTTTATATAAAAAAAAAAAAACGAAACGAAAACAACAACAACAACAAATGGCATTGAGCCGCAGCAAAAGAAATAAACAAAAAACAAAAGCAAACGCAATGTGAATAATTTTTACTCAATTGTAGCACGAAACAATAAGAAGAAGAAGAAAAAGGAACAGATATATATACATATATATATATATATATATATGTATACATATATAGATAAGCATAGCTAAAATAAAACGCTCTGATGATTCAAGACAACGCACACACACGCCTATAGCAAAGCCCATAAAAATGTGCTATAAAAAATAAAAACGCATAAATTCAAACAAACAAAGAAGAAAGCCAACTAAAGTTCAAGTTAAAGTTAAAACAAAAGCAGAAAACAAAGCAACAACAACTACAATTACACATACAATGCCTAATTGGCCAGGATAATAGAGCAAGGCAACGGCAAAAGCAAGAGCAAGAAGCAGAAGCAGAGAACAAAAAGCAAGACTGATTTTTATGTTTTTTAGTTAGCTTTCTATTCATATTCAAACTGGCAAGAAACTAAATACCAGAAAATACTCATAAAATACTAAACATAACTGAAAATAATACTAAAAACACGAAATTATTACAATTACAAGAGAAAGTGCAATGACGAATGCCGGCAAATGAAGCGGAAACCATAGGAAATCCGGCTTTTTTAGGACATACTACAACAACAACAACAACAACAACGAACTAACAACAACAAGAAGAATTATCAAAGCCATCATCAACAGCAACTGAAATTGAAACTATTGAAGCAATTGAAGCGCAATGTTTGTGTTCATTGTCGTTCTGTTGGTCAATACCTGTCTAGCTGGTAAGTGTGTGCACTGAAAGAAATTAAGTACTAGCTAAGTACGCATGCATACATAAGTTAAAAATATAATTCAAAAATGAAAGTCAAATCGAAAAAGAAGATTTAAAAGTTTAAAGCATTAAGAATGAAACGTAAATTGTAGAACAGATAGAGAATATATATTGTTCGATTATATATATTTACCACATATATTATATATATTTATACATATATAGATTACATACATTACAGATATTAAATAGATTTTTTGGGCAATAAGGATTCATAAGGATTGCATCAATTATATAGATTATGGATATTTTGTTGAGTACATTAATTATTGTATATAAAATCGTGAACCTAATTTTAAATTCCGAAAGTTAATTTTAATTTAAGTCGTTGTATAATTTTTAATAAAAATATTTATTTTATGTATTATTTTTTTTAAAATTATTTAATTAATTATATTAGATGATCATATTCTAGCAAACGCCTCTTTATATTGCCACACAGACAATATTGCTTGAAAGTTAATTTGCCTATTAAATATTTAATGTTAGAGAAAAAAATGTAAATTATTAAAAGAATAAAAATATTAAATGAATAAGATAATAAGAACTTAAACCCATTTACCACTAACCCAAAAACTAATTTCATAATATTTTCCGATTTGGCACATCCTAATATTTAGGCCATGTAATTTATAAGTTTGTTTCTAAAGATAAATAAATAATAAAGATAAATAAAATAATTTTTAAAACATTGACTGAAGTTTTATAAATTAATTTTACCTTAATTTATATATTTTTTCTTTTATTATTTTTCATTTACAATATTATATTCAATATTTGTTAAATATTTTCTGAATTATTATATTCTCCCTTACAAAGAGTTCCTAAATATAGCATATTTTTTCAAGTGTATCGATGCAGAGTAAATATGAAATATAAATTCCGGATCCAATCAATTTGGATCGACCTACAGTCGGGGCTTATATATAGTAACTACTTTTTATTGACTTCTCAATCTAGAGTATGTTAATTTGAAGCTAAAAATACTTTGTTGATCAGCATATATATGTCTTACTGTTATTTATCTACAGTGTTGTATATCTGTCTTCTCTATCTATATGCAGGCACTATACCAGCTACGCCGGAGAATATAACCGTAACATTTTTAACGCCGACGGCCGTGCGCGTCTCTTGGCAAACGCAGATTGATCTAAAGGCACATCCCATTGAGAAGTACATTGTAACTTATAAGCCAACAGATGACAGGTAGGTACCTCTGGCATTATTACACACGCATACACCTACACCGTCACACACACACACACACACACAGAGGCAATTTGCTTCCCGTAGTTCACAAAGTTGATGCAATTATGCAAAGAGGCGTCGCTGACTTTACAATATTTTGTGCAATTGACAAGGCTCAGCTGTGTGTGTGCGTGCGCGTGTGTGTGTGTGTGTGTAATGGCCCTGAGCTAAATAACGATACAAGTTAAGGAAAGTGGGGCCTAAGGGGGCAGAACAGCAAATACAAAGTTAAAGCCAAAATGACCGCGTGTAAAGGCAAAGTCCAAAAAAGAAAAACAAAAGAAGCCGCCGCCGCCGCCGCCGCGTGTACTTGAAGTTACCAAAGTTTTACTACACTGGGCGAAAACATAAAAACAATATGAACAACCTTTTCAAAATGAATGGAAATGTGAAGACAAAAGCTCTTATCAGAATATAAGTTTGGCTAATTAATTTCATTATTGTTTAAAGTTTTGCAAAGAGAGTGAGGAGGAGGAGGAAAGAGCGAGATATAAAGAGAGAGATAGGGAGAGAGAGAGAATGTGTTGTAAAGAATAATAGACAGAGATAAAGATAGATAAAGAAAGGAATATACAGTGAGATATAGGTAATAGATAGAGAGATAGAGAGAGAGATAGAGAGAGAGTGAGAGAGTATGAAAGGGAAAGAAATAGAGAAAGACGTTGAGCGAGAGAGTTCTGGAAAAGAAAAATGAGTGATGGAGAAACAGATAAAAAGAAAGAGGTAGAGAGAAAGAGACAAAGAGATAAAGAGAGAGAAAGATAGAGAGATAAGAAGAGAGAAAGATAGAGAGATAGATAGAGAGATAGATATAGCGAGAGAGAGAGAGCGAGAGAGAAAGAAAACTTAGTAAAATGATTTTGATAAAGAAACCGATTCGCTTCATATTTCTCTCAGTGCATTCTGCTGCAAGCATGCCGGCAAGCGTAGAAACAGCTGCATTAGAGCAGGAGGACAGACGTGTAATAAAAGTGCGACGTCGGAGTAGCAGGAAGAACAAAACATGCTTGTAATCGTAATATTTTCTCTGCTTCACGTCCCGCGTGCTCGCTCCCTCCCTTCCCTGTCTCTCCTCGACTCTTTGGCTGCGATTTGAATGTAGCAGAGAAAAATGGAGAAGGAAAAAATAGAAAACAAGTCAAGTGGCGTTGCATATTTCGACTAGAAGTCGAACTGCGACCAGGAAGGACTCTTCGCTAACGACTACAAACTAAGGACTTCCGCTAGCGCGAGACGCGCTCCGCGAGGCGTGCCACAACGGAGGCGGCTTGGCCTGTCTAAGGGAGTGAATGCGGGGGCTGGGCTGGGAGGGCGTGGCACGTCAATGTTTTGGAAGGACATTGGAATGCCGTGTAATAAGTTAAGTGCTTGGCTTTTGTGACTTTTTGACTGCGGCTGCAGTTCGGTTAGGCTGGCTGCTGTTGCCTACCTTTGTTCTTGTTGTTCTTCAAGGTGTTTTCAATTTAATAGCTGCGCGCGCGTGTGTGTGTGTGTTTGTTTGACTGCATGAGCGTGTTTGTCTTTTAGTGACCATTGCCCGTTATTGCCGTTGTTGTTGTTTCTTTCTTATTGTTTCATAAAGTTCACGCCTATATCAAAATTTTATTACATCCATTTCGTTTGCTATTGTTGTTGTTGTTGTCGTTGTTATTGTTGGCTTCATTTCTCATGGCCTGGACATTATTTATAAGTCAGTTTGTTTTTTAATTTTTGTGTTTTTCTTTAGTATCGATTTTTAGTGCTTGCGCTCATTACAAAAAGGGCAAGCGGGCGAGATTGGGCGAGCAGTCGGGGGTAGGGGCCTCTCGGGGGGCGGGGCCTAGTTCTGTGTTCTATCTTCCAGCCGTTTTTCGAGTAAAATTGTGTTGATGAATAATGTATGATTAGTACATAGACACGTTGACGATGACTCGAACTCGACTCAACTGAATAGGTCTATAACATAGTCATAGTTCCTAGCTACCCAGTGGGGACTACACACACAATTCAACGAATTTTCTGTGTGAGTGTGTTTGTGCTTGTGTGTGTGTGTGTGTGTGTGTGTACACACCCTTGTTTTAGACGAGCAGACAAAAATTACATATCTGGAGCTGCATACATTTCTAGTAGCTTTATAAAAAAAGAAAAATATGTGTATGTACATATAGATGCACTGAGAGAAATTAGACGAGAACTAGTTATGAGTTTTGATTAAAAAAGAAATTTCTAAAAAAAGACCAGCTTGGCTTATAAGTATATTATAAGTATAATACTTAAGTATAGCATTGACTATGTGAGCCATGTGAGCACTCAATAAAAAAAATATTTTTATATAGGCGTATACTTAATATTTGTAGAATATCATATATTTATTACTCTATAACATTTAACATGGATCGAACATTGCTAAAATTGCATTTTTGCATCATTTTCACTCACTTATAATTCATTGAATTTATCTCTTTGACATAAGCGTATACCTAATATTAGCCGAACAGTTGAGCGTATACTTAATATTCGATTTCTGTTTGACAATGCATAATATAAATGCAAATTGCATGCTTGACATAAGCACATACTTAATATTAATTTATGACGTGGATATATATTAAATATTACCCACGCACACTCAGTGCATATCGTTTGGCTGTTCTATGCCTATGACACACATTTTCTCACAGTGTTCACATATATTTTTCTGTCTGTCAGCCCTGTCGTTGCCTGGGCATTCCTGGCCAAAGGATACGTGGTACAATTTGTCAAGCACCATCAATAACAATAATAATTAATAACAATTACTGTCCAGGCACTAAGGGCTAGAGCTAAAGTGCTCTGGAAAATTTTCAATCAATACTGAATTTATGTGTACATTCCGATTCTAATGTACTATATGCAGAGTGTAGCAGCATTTTTACAGCATTTATTTTACATATTTTGAGCACTTGCCACTGACAGTTTCTAATTATTAACGTAACGTTTGCCGAAATGCAACAAAAAGGTCAAACGTCACGGCCCCGCTAAGAGTGCAACTTAACTTTGTTTTTATTATCATTTTTGTTCACTTTCTCACTTTTCACTTTTCCCTTTTCCATTCTCAATGCTCGTTTAATTGGCTTGGATTGTTTCTGCTATATAATTTTTGGTGGTGGGAATTCATTTTGCATATTTTGAAATTGAAAAATGTTGCCTGTCTGCTGCACAACATGACGTATACTTAATTAACTTCCTCTGCTCATTTCTTTTGTGCTTAAACTTTAAAGTCATTTAGTTTGGCATTTGAGGGCAGATGAAATCAAGACTGAAACACCTGAAGCCAATTAAAGACTTAAGAGTGCTCTTTTTCCACGAAATACTTTGAGCATATTAAATAAATGTAAAATATACAGGCAGCTACTTAATAGAATTTCAGTTATTGTTAAGTCTCAATTATGACGGCAGTTCTGTAAAAAAGTTTGTGTTGGCTCTGTGACGCACCTGCTCTTAATTATGGATGAGCTCTGTTAAATTAAAAGTTTTTGGGCTTGCATGTGAGCGTTTTTTTCATATTATTTAATTATTCACTTTTAGTTTCTTTTTTGTTGGCTTTGAACTAATTACATAACTTTGTTTTTCATTTGGGCTTTTTTGGCTTTTACGTTGGTCAAATTTACATATATTAATTCCGGACAAAAATTAGAGCCGTTTAGCAATTAATTCAGTTTTAATTTTATAAAGAATCGAGGCAGAGTTGAATAAAAAATATGTGTATAAAAGGCAGTAGGCGGTGCGGCAGACTCCATAAAGTATGCTTGATCAGCACGACGCGCTGAGAAGACCTAGAGATGTCCCACTGAACGTTTGTCTATATCCCATAGTAAAGCCCATAATGCAGTTTAAACGCAGCCGCTGCGGAAATTGCATGTGTGCATTTGTGTGTGTGTGTGTGTGTGAATGTTTGCTAGAAAAGAAACGTAAAATAAGTGAAAAAGCAGCTCTGTTTAATGCTCAGAGTATTTCCTTGTCGGATACGCGCGCCTCTAGCCTTTTTCAATTTAAAACTCTTTTAGAGAAAGGTATGAATACACAGGTGGAAATATTCCCAATTGTAAGTCTTTTGCTTGAATAGCTGCCAAATGCTTTGCATTCATAGAGTTAGGCGAATGAACAGGAAAACAAACCTTACAGAGACGCACAAACATTCATTTCACTTCATGAAACAGCATAATAATTTGTAAACCAATAACCTATACACTATATAGTATAGCTTATACTATGCTATATATGACTGTGTGTGTGTGTGTGTGTGTGAGTGTGTGTACATGACAGGGAAACAAAGGTTTAACTCTGTATGCCACGCACATTGTATGTTTTTATATATGCGTGTGTGTGCACGTGTGTGTGTGTGTTAGCCCTTAATCCTTCTACTTCAGCTGTTACACATTTACAATACAATAAACTCTACCAGCTTATATTCAGAAAAAAACCCATCGAAATGAAACATAAAAATAAAAACCAAAAGAGAAAAAGCAACCATACATTGTGCAACATAAGTTATTAAAAATGGCAAGCCAAATGTTTTATACACTGCACACGCACACACATATATATATATATATATATATATACTGTATATAACATATATATATATATATATATATATATATGCTGCTTGAATTTTCAATTTTGGCAGTTTGAGTAATGGACACAACAAATGTTGAACGTAGCCAATTGTATGCGCGCTTTCTAAACTGTTTGTTTATTCAACGGCAAACGGAAATCCATTGGCCTGGAACTTTAACAACAGAAAAAAGTTGGCGAAAAAGCCAAGTGAAACTTTGGTTTAGTCAAAGGGTAAAGCTAAAGAGCATATATGAAATTTTTGGCAATATTTATGAACTCTGAGAGAGAGAGAGAGAGTGGAGAACGCTTGCTCTCTCAATTCCCTAAAGTTACATTTTCTAAGCCGCACCACCCAAAAGCCACATAAAACTTAGCTTGTGCGTGTAAATTGTGGTGGACAATCAATGTACCAACAGCTGACAGTGGGGCTTAAACTTGATTTGAACCGTCGACCTGGCCAACTTTAGACATTGTCACATCTGTTGCCTGGTCTAACGGCAAAGTTTGCATAAAACTAAATTGTTTTTGTGGCCCTTAAGTGGTGCATGGGGCATATTTGTTGAAGCATTCCATAGATTGTATATATATATTTCTGTCTGCCTATATATACACTTAATGGTTAGGCTGGGAATACAGGGTACGCGCCAAGTTCATAAAAGCCCAAAACTTAAGCGTGTGAGACACAGAGTGTGACGCATATTAGTATAAAGGATAATAGTATTTGGGAAATTAGTATAAAGGATAACAGTATTTGTGAAATACATTTATGGAAATTAAAGCGAACATCTGTTTAACTGGGTTAACATTTGAGCTTGTGTGTTTGTCTTCGAAAACTATAAGCAGAATGCTTAGGTTAAGCAAAGATGCTTAAATGGGTCACAACTGCCAGTTAACTGAAATGAAATGCTCTTTATGGTTACTTAGGTTATTTAATATCCTTGCAGACACATAGCAGCTGTACATATTTATCTTTTACCATAAGTAAACATTTATATATTTGTGTTTACCTTTTATGTTTGCCTTTTTTGATATGCTAAAACGAAATAGATTTTGAAACTTTAAGCTAAATTGTATAATCAAGCGAGTTCTAGTTGGGAGTATCTGACATAAATAGATAATCAATTTTTTACCGATTTCATGACACAAAAAGTTATCGATAATTCTTAGTTTTAAAACACACCATTCAGTGAGTAGCGTACCTATGTATTATATATGAAGACATGTGGAGAGATAGAAAGACAGAGAGAAATCGCCAATATTGAATCGACTTTGTGAAAACTGATGAAAAGTTATCGATAATTCGAAATAAGCTAAAGCTAGGGGAGGAACATCTATATAAATCATTTAATTTTAAGAAGAAATTTGTATGCTTGGCCCTCTCTACTATATGTGCTGTATTTTTGGCAAAAATAATATACCCAGAAAGGTATATATACCGAGGTATCCAAATGTTAAAGCTCATCTTCTACTCAACGATTTTGTCGATACATAATAATCTCTTGAAAATGACATTTAACGAAGCTTCTAATTAAGACATTATAATATTAGTTTTTAAATGAAGTAAGAAGAAAAGAAACTACTTTAGAATAAAACAACTACGTATAATTGTTGTTAGAATATTTAAGTATCAGAAAATAGCTTGAAATATAATAATTACATATAATTATTGGGAGAATATTTAAGTACCAATTATATGTTAAGGCAAATCAAAATTTGTTAAGCTAATTGATATGTTCAGGCAGGTGCTAAGAGATAGCGTACCTGACTATTAAACGAAAGTTTCTGAATAAAAATTAAGTTCAAGGTTCAAGTTTATTTAACAAGCTAACGCAGATTTAATCAGCAAAGCACTTGTCAGGATCTCGAACTATAGAGCTCTATATATTATATTAAAAAATTAATATGAGTCGCATTTAGGTTACTTTATAGGGTATTAAGGAGTCAATGTAGAGCCTAATTATTGAGATACTCTAAATTGTAGTCATATTATTCATATATATTTAAATGATCATAATTTCTGACAACATTTTACAGGGTATACCCTAATTTTTGGTCTGTTTTGCTAACAGCTTTGATGTATTTTATGTTGATATCATATCAACAAGTTATACAAGTCATTTGTATTGTTTACAGTTTACAGGGTATTTATAGTCGCTCATTGCTTGCTTAGTAACACACAAAGCGTTAGTTTATGTTTTTGTTATGGCTGCAGGCAACAAAAGTCGAGCCGCGTATGTTCTTTAGCCTCCAATGGCTGACGCGTCGATTCCACTGGGGCCCATTGGCAAGGCGTTTGAATGTGTGTGTGTGAGTGAGTATAAGTGTTAGTGTGTGTATTAACAGTAACTGCTATGTGCTATATATGAATAATGAATCATTTGTCAGGCTGTTGTATAGCGGCCGCTGCTGTAACAGGAGACATTGCACCACAGGCCAGAGGTCCACGCAAAGCTCTGCGACTGGGCTAACCACGCACTTGTTAGCTTACAGCAGATATATACTATACATACACATAAATATATATAACTATAGAGGGAGTGGGTCGGTTATACGAGCGGCAAAATCTAGGACATGTTTGGCTAACTGCCTGGCAAAGTGACAAAGTGAAATATTGGGCCCATACTGTAATTACGAGCCACAAACCTGGCCTCATATTTCACGTCTTACTCGCAACTATTTATTGTAGTTTGTGCAATTAGCTGCACACACACACGCAATAACACACACACACACATATCCAATACGCATCCAATACACATACTTACATCCTGTCACACTTAGCTGCCGTTCGAGAGTGGTAATTGAATTAATTTAAGTTACAGGGTTGTACAGGACGTTGCCGGCAACAGCGAGGCCATTGTCCTGGACCGTCTGCTGCCCAGCACACAGTATTCACTCTCTGTGACGGCCATCTGGATGGGCAAAAGATATCGCAGTCGCGGCCAAATCAAATTTCGCACGCTGGGTAAGTCCATAGTTAAAGCTACACAGTGAATGTATAAAATAAATGAGAAATAATGTAAATATACATGTTTAAAAGTATCTGATCAACATGAGACAAAAAGCTTCTAACTGGACATGTTAGATTGAAGTAGAAGTAATACTACTCTGTTAACGCTTTCAATTAATTTCAATAAATATATATATTCTTTATACAACCCTCGTAAGAAGTATTTTATTTTGCTTACAGATCTGCCTCGTAATACATCACAACAGGACTTTCCGCCGGGCATCTATGGACGCAATGGCTCCGGCAATGGCACCAGCTTTGGCGACGATGTCACCTCCACAGCCACCAATACGCTGACGCACAGAACCTCAAGAGAGCTGCCAACGGTAAGAAAGAGTCGTCAATAATCGAGTATATATTGTTAACTAACAGCAGTTGGCATCAGAAGAAGCAGTTGAATCAGGATTCAATGGTTTGGAAACAGTTGAAAATGAACTCCTTTTCCTTTTTTACAGATACGTGGCGTAGAGATTGGCATTGTTTTAATCGTGCTGATGGTGTGGGCTGGTGCTATAGCACTCTTTTTCAATCGTTGGGGCAAAATACGTATGCTTCTGCCCTACCAGCCAGACTATAAGCACGAGCAGCTCAAGGTGCCGGGCACAGGTGTTTGCAGTGCCAGCGGCTGCAATGGCCAGCATTCACATCAGGTATGGATCGTATGGAAGATATGCATATAAATAAATATATATACATATATATATTTAAAGATATATATATACATATATATATACTTACTATAGTGCGCTGGCATTTAATGGGTATTTATTGTGGGCGGTTTACACAGGGCAGACAAAAAAAAACAAGTATTTGTTCTGTTTTCTGAGCGCGAATTGAACTTTAACTATGTTTCCTTTTTTGTTATGCTTTATTTATAGAACCTACACCCCGATTTCTTTGTCAAGGTATACAAAAAATCTTTCATTTCTCAATTACTTACTGCATTACGAATCAAAAAAAATATATTTTTCTTTTGCATATTATTAGCTTTGTGCAACAAGTCAAGAAAAGACTATATGAAAAGTTTTTTAAGAAAATATTTTAAACAAAATCCGCACAATTTTCTTAAACTAGTGCACTAAGCCCTGCTCTATCAAAAATTTACCCTTTCTCTCCTACTTTAAAAACTATTTGAATCTGATTATTTGGAAAGCTTCAATTGCGGAAATTTTCTAATTTTCATTTCAAATATCGAAAGTAGAAAAGTCTTAAGGTCTGCTCAGTCAGAATTGTGTAAATCCTGTATATATTTGTCTGCTTCAAAGTTCTAATCGATCAATTCGTAGACACCCAAACATTAAAATGAATTAACATCAATATGTATAGCATACTTAATCGGGCTCTTAATGGCGTTCATTTGACCCGTTCATATTTACACCATATATATTGTATATGATTAGTGGAACAATTATATATAATAGGCTTCACCGTCCTTTTTCTACTTCTACTTTTTTATAATTTGCGTAAGAATCAAGCTTTTTTCTAGTTTAAATATGATTTTGCTTTGACCGATTTCGTAGTTTTCAAATATACTCTAACACGCTTTTCTTTTAAAGTTTCTGTAGAGTACCCTCACTTCGGTGTGCACCGAAGATACTTTTTTAACTCCTCTTCTACTTAGAGCCGTGAGCTTAAAACTTTCTTCAAATAAACAAAAAAATCAAATTCCATAAATTATTTTAGTCACATTTAGAACTGCACCCAGGCGGTTGACCCTAAATGAACCAGTTCCATATGTTCCATTTGTACATGTTTGATGGTTCCGCGCATGGAAGCACTCTTTTAAATATATACATATATAAAATCGAAATCAAGTTTTTAACCCATTTGCATTTTCTATACATATTTCGTAATTAGTTTAGCGGTTTTGGTTTTAAGCTTTTTGTTGAGCTTTGTTGAGGTTCTTCAAGCTTTCAATGAAAATCACTGACAAAAGTTTCTTAATATTCCACCCAATCAATACACTTGGCTCGCTCTCGCCTGCTCCCGCTCTCGCCGCTGTCTCTCTCTCTCTTCCTCTCTCTCTCTTTCTCTTTCTCTCTTTCTACTGTAAATGCGGTGCACTCAGTGCTTGCCCCGTTGCGAGGGCTGCGGCATCTTCGATCGCTGCTTTCAGTATCCGCGACGGGAGCTCGAGCGCGATTGCGGCTGTCAGTTTGCGCTGCTGCACAAAGCGGATGTGGAGAGCTAGCAACCAGTGCATCGCGAAACGGCGGCCACACCCACAGCGCCCGTTAGTCATAGCCATGGCACGCCTACCAACACGTATGTTCGCGGACTCAGTGTCGATAATCAGTCCAATGTGCTGGAGCATGTGGATAGCATAGATAGCGCTGTACCAATAAGAAATGCTAATACAGATGTGGATGCAGATGGCTGTCAAACAGCTGAGGATGAGAAACTACTGCTGCAACGGGAACCACCAATGCAGCCGCTGCCGCAGCCGCAACAGCAGCGTGTGTTGCCTCTCTCGGTCAATAGTCATACGAAGCAGCGTCGATTTGCGCAACAGCGTAGTATATTGAAGAACTCGCAGGAGCGCACCTTTGTCGAGGAGAACGAGGTGCTCGAGGCCAAAAAGCAATTGATATTGCGTCGTAGACGCCTCTTCAGCCACTATCGGCAATACGATCAGTGGCGACGGCGACAGTTCAGCTATGATCCCAGCTACTTTCGCCCGCCTCCGTTGCCGTCTCGACCGTTGGCATACGCTGATTATGGGCCAGCTGCCGTTGGCGTTGCCGGCGTCGGCGTCAATCACGGCACCATGGGATATGGAGTTGGAGGCTCCACATCCGGTGCGGGCAATGTGGGACGCCGGCGGCGACAGTATCGCCGGCAGTATTCATGCGCCGACCGCAGCCGAGATGGATCGCGCGAGAGTCGTGGATCATCCACGCTGCAAAAGTATCACAGCATGGTCGCCAGCGATACCATACACACCGAATCATCCATGCTCAATCACAGCAACTACAGTGAACCGGCCAGCGTAAGTGCTTTTCGAGACGCTAATCGATGAACGATAAAGCGCATCCGATTGCTTGTTTGTGCGTTCGCTCACATATATTTGTGCTCGTTCGTTTCGTTCATTTGATCGTTGCGCTTATTCGTTTCGTTCCGTTTCGCTCGCCTATCGATTCCGATAATTGCACCAAACGCCATGCACTTCGTGTTGGGCACGTTAATCGTTTATCCGTTTAAACCGTTTTACCGTTTGTTCGCCCGGCGTTTGCAGCGTTGATAAACAAATATTTTAGAGCACCCAATAAAAATACTTAGCACATAAACACTAATACACCGTGTACAGTTAGAAGAGTCACTTCTAGACTCACACTTCACTAGAGCACAGCCAAAAACACAGCCGCCAATTCCAAAAAAAAAAAAACAAAATAAAAACACCAACTCACTCACAGTTTTCGTATCGCTTTTGTAGAGTATTGTGCAGGTTGTTGCTTTACGCTTTTCGCTTGCTTCTGTTGTTGTTCTTATTGTTAATCGCCTGAAGAGGATATTTACTTCGTTTCGTCTCTGAAATTCCTGTACTTCAGCTTACAAATTGTATGTGTGTGCGCGCGTGCGTGTGTGTGCGTGTAAAGTCTGACATTTTGTTTTTGTTTTCCACCTCTGGGTCTCTCTCTTTATCTGTTCTTTCTCTTCCATGTCTCTCTCTTTCTTTCTACTTCTATATAACATTGAGAATACAGTTCGACAGCAGTGAATGTGGCGGCACCTTTGCTCACCCACCGTTGCACTGCAATAGCCGCGTAAGAGAAACAAATTGCAAAGATAACAACAATTTTTCAATATCCAATGGCTTTTCTAATAAATCTTTGTCTTACAGCACATCCACATGCTCGCCGAGGAACGTTCCACATCGATATCGGAGCGCTGTACACGCAGCCGGATCAATTCGGCCATATTCGTGTCGTCGGAGGGTCGCGGATTCGACTCCATCGAGTTCCTGCGTCGCCATGGCTCACAAAGTGTGCTCTGCCGGAAGGCCAAGAGTGCAGAGAATATTACCGAAAATGGACGCAGGGTAAACTGTCAGTTTATATCAACAAATCTGATTAATGATATATTTGCCTTGTAGAAGAGTCTGCGTCCATGGCGCACCGACGATGACTCCGTCCAGCAGCAACAGCAGCAAAACTCCTCGCAGGACATAGAGATGAAGGAATGTGGCGCCAATGGTGGTGAATTGCTCACGCTCCCCGTACTCCACGACGCCAAACAATCGCCAACAGCCGTAACGAGCTTACTAGCACGTTCCTCTGCCATAACCACGGCCAATGTTATCGTGGGCAGCATTTCATTGGAGGCTCCACCGCCGTATATGCAAGATGATGACGCCACCTCCATATCAGCTCTCATACACAGCGATACATCGGCTATGGTGCACGATTCACAGGATTCAGCGGAAACTGTGGAGGAATTGGTGCATGTTCCACTGCTGGCCAGTGCAACGGCTACGGCATCCTCCGTTTCGGCCGCTTCCACGCCCAGCATTGCCATTGAGGCTAAACCGCGTGTGCTAGTGCATCAGCGCTCATCGACGGCCTCCTCATCGCCGCACAGCAGTCCTAAGAATTTGGGGCTTGGCTTGAAGATAATCAAGCCGAAAATTAGCGCCGTGCCAATGGTTTCAGTGTCGGGTCCATCACCGCCCATTGAGAAACCGCCACTGGCAGAATGCTTGTAACAAATGGCAGCCGAAACATTTATCTAAGCGCGCTCACTCAAGGCAAACTGGACACCCAGTCACAATCACAGATTTCACACTTACAAACACGAACCTATTCACACACACACTATCCTCGACTCAGATTGAAAGGTGGTTAGAAGTATGCCAGCTGCTCAAATAAGTGTTTCGGTGAAGCTGAAGGGGACTCAAACGCCTCTTCAGGCAGTTAAAACTAGTTGTAAACGTATTACTAGAAATAGACGTAGGCATAGACGTAGCTTATGTATCAAAACAAGATAGGAAATGGAAGAAGGGCATCAACTTTTTGCAAGAAAGCTTTGTATATTCAACACCGACTGAAGTATACATATACGAACTATAGATGATGTGGTTTATAAGCCATTATAAACAGAAAAAACACATACACAACTGATAAATCAGCTTTAACGACAAACAAGTAAACTATCAGGCTTTAATATATTACGATGAATTTCTGGTTTAACCCTAGACATAGGCCGACTTAAAAACCTGTTGACGAAGTTATATATATATATCTTTACACGTTCTCTTCTATATCTATATACATATACACACATACACCCAAATATTGATAGTTATAGCCAAAACCTAGGGCACCAACACATGTTTATATATATACACCTCTATAACTACATGTTTTCACTAGTAGTCTATACACGTATATACCCTAGAGGTAGTTGAGAATGAACCCCACTATATAGCTTGTAGGCACAAAGAACAAATGAAGATAGTCGAAAGCGTTACTAACTAACTTATTCTTACTTACTAGCTAACATATCAAATACCCACGACCAAAAACGAAACGTTGAAACTGTAAAACTAGTCTATAAACTTAAATTCCTACAATATGATATTGTAAAATATAATTGTCAAGTAAGAAAGTGCCCAGGATGAGTTCTAAGTGTTTTTAAAACTACTTGTACTTGTACGTTGATTATAAAGACGTCATTTTAAAAGATATATAATTCTTTATAGATATATATATATATATATATATATATATATATAAATGTAGGTGTATGTACGAGTATCCTTTTAGTGGTTAAGTATGCATTTTCAAACAGTTTCACTTGATGTACCTATATGATAGTTATATGAATTATATATAGAACTGATGGCAGCACAGAAAACCATTTGCTCTCTTCTCTAGGTAGTTACTTACATTTTAGTTATGTTACTTCAATTCTCTGAGCAATACACTTGCCTAATTAAATCCCCTAATAACTTATACTAAATATATAAACTATAAACTTTCAAATCTCTGTTTAAAGAAACTCTTATGTATATATACACCCGCACATGTACCTACTTAATAAGCTCTTTAATCCCTACTATCTAAAACAGACTCCATACCAAATTTACGATTATAACATTAAAAAAAAAAAAACAGAAAAAGAAGAAAAACTGGATTATTGAATGGAACAGAACATGTTGTTATTAAGGAATTGTCAATTTATGGTCCAAAGCTACAATAATAATAAAAATACAAAATAATTATGAACAAACCATTTGAATGGGTCAGAATTAAGCTTACTTAATTTAAAATTGGTCTACGTTAATTTCGCTATTACATAAATATAATGTGAATGTGTATTTTTTGAAATCAAATAAACGAAATAATTCATTAAGCTACAAAGTTTTTATTGACAGATTTACAGTATTTACATTTCTCAACAGGTTTTGTAAGAAAATGTACAGCATTTATATGATAGTTTTTCGAAAAGGTTTACAAATGCTAAGTCTTCTTTAATCTTATCTATCGTAGTTCAATTTTTGCTCTTCTCGAAGATGACACAATGATTGCCCTGATCATAATAACTTTTCCTTATTACAACGTCTTCCATTTGTTGTACCAACTTTTCTAATTCCTGCTCCTCGAAGACATGATAGTAGCGTAGAAAAGTTGTGCGCTGTTCATCTTTGGTTTTCCATGGCACATAGACATCTTGCTGCTGGAACTCCGTTCGATTCGTATGCACTGGCAAAGAAACTGGCAACTGCTGATCCATGCCTTCCAGTTGTTGTGCAAGTTTCTGACGCTGCGCCTGCTCCGTGGTGCGCTCCTTATTGACGGCTGTATTTTGTTTTAAATACGTTGACTTCTTGTCATTCTTCCGCTGATCCTTGGCCCACACGTAGACGAGAGCACGTCCACCTGGACGCAGCACGCGTGTAAGTTCACGTAGTGCTGTTAGCCGCCGTTCACTACTAGCCAGATGATGAATGACCGCAATGCTAATGCATCCATCGATGCTGGAGCTCCGAACCGGCAGTTGCAAACAATCGCAACGAAAGACGTTCTGACCACGCGCGTTTCCCACGCCAAGCAAACCCAGCGAACGATCACAGCCTATTGACAGTAATTGAGGATTACAGCCCAAATACTTGCCATTGCCACAGCCCACGTCCAGCAGCACTGATTGTGGCTGAAAGGAGTTTAGAAACTCAGCTACTTGTGGCCAGGGTGTATGACGCGTATCGCTAAAATGATTGGCAATCTTGTCATAGACTTCATGCACATTCTGTTGCTCCAGGTGGCTGGCATGGGTTGCTAGCTTTTCACACACCTCTTGGGGAGTTGTTGTCTGCTGCGTATCACATAGCGTGGGAAATTGGCAATCACAAGGACCACGACGCAGACGCCTGAAAGTAAGAGAGGTTCTCTTACTACGCACCTGCGTTGTCAGACTGCCCGATGGAGTGGCCAGCACATCAATATGCTTTGGTCTGATGCCATGAGTCCAATCGTACCGCGATTCCCCCGACATGACAAGAAGCGAACGACGTGGCAACAGCACATGAACCAGCTGCGCTCCGCGACGAAAGTCCATGACAACATCAGATTGCAGGGATAACGACAGTATGGGATCCTTGAAGGCGCTATGTGTGTCCACATGCGGCGGTATACCTTGCCCTGGTTCATACTCATTAACAGTCAGTTGATCGGGCGGCTCAAATGTTGGCAACTCTAAACGTTGCCACAAAAAATCACAAGCATCTGGAATACCCTGCTCGAGGGGTTGCAACGGATTCACATTGTTGCTGCCGTAGAGAAACTCATAGCCAAAATGCTTGACTTGCCTGTGCTTTAGACTGTCTGCTATGCTGGCAGCACCAGCAGCAACTGCCTGCAGCAGCGTTGCCTCCTCTGCTTCGCTGACGAAGTTCTGGAGTAGCACAAGTCCGTCGGGCAGTGACTTTTGCCAACCGTTTTCCTCTCTTTGCTGTGGCAATTCTAACAAATAGCTGAGGTAGGCAACGGCACCTTTCTGACCAATGGTTGCCCGATTATGCATGCCATCGTAAACAAGCTGCGAGTCCGCCAATGTTGTACACATAAGAAAACAATATGATTTCGAAGGCAACATGAGCACCTGAGACACCTGACCGCCTGTTGCAGCTGCTGCGGCTAGCAGCGCTTCTTCGGTGAGTCCATTGCTAAGTCCCACGTTGAGTATGGCCAGGTAGAGCGTTGGCGAGTCACTTTGTGAGACATTACAGTCGGCTTTTATTATTGCCAAGCTGCGCCGTTGTTTTTTCTCTGCCTTTTTCGCTTTGTTTGTCTTTTGCTCAATGTGCATCTCGTCCAGAGTGGGTCTAAAAAATACCAAAAAAGTAAGTTTAAGTGTGTACACACCAACACGTTCAAGCACTAGCCAAAACAAGGTATGCGGCTCTGATTATTTACCAGTCAACAAATCAGTTAATATCACTATTTTGAATGAAAACATTTACCTTTCTTGCAGCTCCGCTCATTTACCAGAAAATAAGTTCATCAATGATTTTTTAAGTTTTATATGGAAATGTTTGCCATTCAAGCATTATGCCCACTAACAGTATATTTAAAAATATTTTTGTTGATATACACTTAAGACTGAAACTTCTTCAAATTGCTGCATATACAGTAAATTACAATTGTATATGTTCATATCTAAACTTAATTTAGGCTTACAATCTACCAGACTCTATCGATCATACTATTGTCCTGCGGCTTCTGATTCATTGTCGTGAGCTGCTGATGATAATTTCGCATCTGATTGCTGCGACGTGGCTGAGCCAAGTATTCGAACATGCTCTGCAAATGCTGCGACAACATTTTGCTCAGATCACTGGGCATGGGATCTGTCCAGAAAAAGTCGTGATTTAGAGCTGTGTCTGCATCGATACGTTTCTTTGGATCGAGAGTTAACAGTTTGTCTAGCAAATCACAGCCAGTGGGATCTTTGACATACGGACGCAGACGCTCTTTGACGCGTCGCTTCTGATTCTTTGGAAGCTCAATCGATTTATACAGCTCTAGCTCCTCGACGCCTGGCCAAACGTCTGGAGTAAAGGAACCGCACAGTTGTGATATAAAGGTCAGCTGCTGCTGCTCTGTATTGCCCTGCATAATAGGCGAACGTGTCCACATCTCAGCCATAATGCAGCCTGCGCCCCACATATCCACAGGTGGACCATAGTTGCGATCACCGAGCAACAGCTCCGGTGGACGATACCATAGTGTTACAACGCGATTTGTATATCGATTTTTGCACTCGTTCTTTGGAATGCTAAACGCGCGGGCCAAACCAAAGTCGGCCAGCTTTAAAATACCATGTTTTGTGATCAGTACGTTGGCGGCCTTCATGTCGCGATGCAGAATCTGTATTTGAATTACAAATAAGTTTATGTATTAATTTATATATGATATGTACCTACCTTATTGCTGTGTATGTAGTAGAGGCCATTGAGCAGCTGCTGCATAACTTTCTTAATTTCGCCCAGACTGAATTTCACATTCATATTGGATAGCAAACCAGCCAAATCGTGCTCACAGAAATCAAATACCAAATAGAAAGTCGATCTATATCCATTGTGTACAGTGGCCTTAGTGCGACATATCTCTATCAGATTGACCACATTTTCGTGCTTGAGCAGTTGCAAGATGCGAATCTCACGCAAAGCCGTAATGGGAAACTATCAAATAAGATATTTGTTACCTGTAGCCGTTCCAAAAGACAACAGTGGCTACTTACGCCCTCTTTTTCATTGTCCATGAGCACCTTCTTCATGGCAACAAATTTTTTGTTACTTTTCTTTTCGCGTGCTTTGAAGACCTCGCTGAGTAGTACAGAAAAACAGTTAGTAAATTAAATGCAATTCATTTTTGACATATGCTGGTTTTTGTAGCTCACCCGAATGTACCTTGGCCAATTTTGGCCACTTTTTCGTATTTACTGCTTTCATCGCAGTAAGGAAAATCATAATCCTCAATATACTTTTGTTTCTCCATGAGCGACATTGTACGGGAAGAGCTACCGGACGAAACGCCTGGTGTTGTTGACGCTTGCGGTAACATATGTGACATGTGCGCCATTATAAAATATTACCAATTCAATATAACAAAATTAAATATTTGTTAATTCCACAATTATTGCAATTTCTGGTCACAACAAACACAACACACGCACAAAAAGCAACAACTGATGCAGCTGTTTTGTAGCATTTTCGCATAATAGGTGCACACCGATCATAGTCAGCTGGTGCGTCAATAAATTAATTTAGGCAAGAGTGTGCACACTGTCCCAGTGATATAACCTCAAGAAGTGTAGTGCAGCGTTAAGTTATTTTTTATGAATAAACTATTAAACATAGTGCACGCTGTGCCACGCCAATTTGTGCGTGACTATGCATTCAAGTCGGATCTGAAAATCAAATGGGTCCGACCCGAAAAGATATCATGCATCAAACCAGAGAAAAGCGGCGATCTGGCAAAGCTGCCTCCGTTGAATCCTAGTGAAATATTGCCGGACTACAAAGACTCCAAGGAGTTAGCAAAGTTAGTTCGCTTATAACATACATGCTTATACGTAAATAAAATATTTCATTTTCTTTGTAGTGCCGATGATACTGTCAAATCAATGTTTATGCTGGGTAACAATCCGAATCATATGACTACTCGCTATTATCGGGATCAAATGATCAAGGAAGTGCAGCGGCATGCACAGGACTATGGCTCCATGGAGGCTAAATGTAAGTATCCGATAACAGACCACGTAGTCTGACAGATCATTACCTGCCTCCCATTAAATTCGAGACAAAATAGGCAAGAATTTGATTAGGTCTCGATTTGCTTATAACATATCATTTCTCTTTTGACTACTGAAACAGTGGCCAGGTTGACGGCACTCATACGACGCTATCAGTCACATATGGAGGTGCATCCACGCGACAAGATGATCAAAGTGCGTCTAAAGGAGATGATCGACAAGCGAAAGAAGTTTCTGAAGTATCTCAGACGCTGGGATTATCCACGTTTTGAATGGATTTTGGAGAAGCTGGACTTGGTATATAAGCCACCGCCAGCAAAGTTCCATTGGATAACGCGCAAAGAGTCGTTGCAGAAGCTAACCGACAGTTACTGCGAAAATATCAAGAATGAGCGTCTGGAGGCTTATCACAAAGAGCTCCAAGAGCAACAAATACCCTTTTTAGAGGAAGCTATCAAGAAAATGATATTCGTTCGCCAGGAGCAGATTGATTGCGATGTGCCGGTAACTGTAACGGAAGAGCAGATCGAGGAGGCGAGAAAGGAGCTGGCACAGCTGCAAGAGACGCGCGATGCAGCGGCTGCCGAGTCACGCAAACAATCGGATGAAACCTTCCATTAATTAATTTACTTGCAATAAAGTCGACTCGAGTGACAACTTCTTAAATTATATGATTTTATTGATTTTCTTATAGAGGGATTGGAGTGGAGGAGTCAAATACATGTCATGGGCGAGTGGTGCAGGCTTAGAAAAATAAATAAACAATTGTTAGCCCTCACAATAAAGTGAAGAAAAAACAAGATGAATTTTCTCCCAACGGAATCGAATCCGAATCGAGTAGAACACTTCGTTCCTAACGGGAACGTCCGTCTGATCGTTTCCTGTCACGCTTACTATTGGAAGCGTTGCTGCTGCTGGAGCTACTCGATGAGGAGCTTGATGAGGAGTCACTGGAACTGGACGAGCTGGATGAGGAAGATGAGGAAATGGACGAGGTGGATGCCCGCGATGCTCTTTTACTGCTGGCAGTTGTTGCTGGCGTTAGCTTCTCCTTGGTACTAGTGCCGTTGTCCGTCTCCTTGCTCTTAACATTGCTGGAGCTTACTTCATTGTCGCCCCACAAATCGTATTTGGACAAATCTCCGTCATCGTCTTCATCTTCATCCTCCTCCTCTTCATCGCCTTCGATATCTCTGCGTCGTGCACGTTTCGCCTCATCTCTGCCTCTGTTACGGCCATCCTCATTGTCATTGTTTTTACGTTTTTTGCGCCGACCAAATTCATCGTATTCGCTATCGGAATCCTCGCGCTCCTTATACTCCACAACGCCACGATCATTGTAGCCTCCGCCGAAGCCTGCCAGTGATTGGAAATAGTTAGTTAGACATTTTTCCTTACGCCTAATTGACTTACCTGTGCGCTCCTCCACATCCGTGAATTTGGGCGCGTTGCACATGTTGCAAGTTTGCCGTCGCGCCCAATTCACATTTGCACATTTGCTGCACTGCCAATCCTCTGCGCTGAACAATCCTCGCGATTTGTCTGCGGCTACTTTACCAATCTCTGTACCAAGTTTCTTTTTAGAAGAGCTGCTGCTGCTGCCGCTACTGCCATTGCCACGATCTCGATCTCGATCTCTGTCTGGTTTTTCATTGGCGCTATTTTCGCGATCCCGATTGCATTTGTTGCATTGCAGGCGACGCGCAAAGTTCAAATGGCGACAGCTGCAACACACACAGTGAGAGAGCGAGAGAGAAAGAGAGAGAGAGGCAGAGAGACGCACGCCACACACAGATGCGGATGGAGGAAGAATAAGAGTAACAAAACAACATTTGTTATTGCATTTTTGTCGATTATGTTAAAAAGGAAGAAAGAAGGGAAGTATGTAGTTGTTGTTGTTGTAGTGCTGGATGCTTTGCATTTTGGCCATAGATCTTTACGCTTGAAGCTTTACGCGCACTCACTCAATATCTGGGCAAATCCAATCGCCAGGCGAGACGCTGATGCTGCCGCCGCCGCCGCTGCTTCCACTGCCGCCACCACCTCCACCCCCACAATTCGACATTTCGCAAAACTGAAAGTTGTGTGGCCGCTGCTACGAATAATTGTCGCTTATGCTGGCCAGCCTAGCAATTGACATTTATAACAATTTTATACAATTTCTGTATATGAAACTTTTTCCGGTTTCGTTTTTTTGCAAATAAATTTATGTAGCGTTGCTAGTAGGGTTGAAATGCCCGACAAATGTGGCCAGACTGGTACAGATTGTATATTGCCACTTGGAATCGATTGTACTTTGACAAGTCTGGCAGCGCTATAGCAGCACCTAAATATGCATATTGTATTTGTTTACAGCAATTGCCTTTAGATAGCTTAAATCGTATGATTCTATGTAGTATTAAACATTTCATACTTTTATGCATAAAGACATGGATGTAATTTACTTTTAGAGTTTTATTTCCTTAAGCATATAAAACAAAAGCCGCTCCAAAAAGTAAACAACAGATTTTTGTGTTGTCATTGGATTTATAAAAGAAGTACAACTAACGCAGCAATTAATTTCGGAATTGCAGGTGCGCGCCACCAGCAACACACACACACAATATCATATTGATGTGCCAGCTATATTGTTTTACTTCTTGCCGGTACCGATCTTGGCCTTGGCGGTACCACGGACCTTCTTCATTCTGTTGCGACGTTCCTTGCGTTGCTTGCGTGTCTGCTTCTTCTGTTCGAAGAGACCATGACGAGCCAGGCGGTATTTTGGCTCAAACTTCTTGGCAAAGTCCAGAGTATCGTAGATCAGGGCAAAGCCAGTAGAGCGGCCACCGCCAAAGTTGGTGCGGAAACCGAAAGCAAACACAACATCGGGTGTCACTTTGTACATGGCGGCGAGCTTCTCACGAATCTCGGTCTTGTTGACTGATGAAAGTCCGGGATGGAGAACATCGCAGACCATTTGTTTCCTGGCAAGCAGACGGTTGGTCATGAACTTGCGGGTGCGAATTGTGGCAGTTGTACCAGTCGACATATTGACGGAGCTGCAAGACATATACACACACAAATTAGACTAGGATTTTATACACCAACTTGTATGTTGTCACAGTTCACAAGCTATTTACTGTTGTTTCTGTTTTCAACATAACCTCAATGCTTTTAATTGCTCCGCTAAGCAACCCGAGACTCCACGTGTGACACGCTGCGCTTGCCACACACCACAAACGCGCTTTAGTCAGCCTGCATTCATATTTCGTAGCATTCACATAATGAGCAGTACATTTTTAATGCATTTGCGCATAACTTGAAACATTAATTACCTTTTAAAACACTCAAAAAGGTTTTAAACACGTCTGCTGTGCGAACGCGATTCTTTAGAAAGGAAGATGGCCACCGTCGTTTGCCGAAAACTTGGCAGCACTTTTATTTTGACAGAGGTGTATCGCATACCCGGCTATCGTTCTCAGTGCAACTCTGTAATAGGCGCAAATTCAAAACGATTATAAATTTAATTTAAACAAAAATATATATTTATTTTGCTTTAGCTTTTATTTAATTGGAGCAACAATTTAACTTAATTTTGATAATTTTAGGTCATTACGTTTTCTTTGCAGTGCATAAGCGACCCCAAAGTAGGTGGCTATCAATACGGCACAAATAGTAGTTGCCAAACCAAAGTAAAAAACAAACAAATCAAATAGATGCAAATGATTGGAGGCAATATCTATGCCACGTGTTCTGATCGCAGTGCCGCCCTTGTGCCGCACTACATAGTTCACCCAGAACATGGCATTGGCCAGGGCACCCAAAGGTCTATCACGGAATTCGCTGGAAACCTCACGAATGGTTAGCTGATAATGCTGTTGCTTTGTCAGTTCATCCAGTGCCCAGTTAAGGGCATCTTTCGTAAAATTGCTCTGATCCAGCTGCAGCGCGACGCCCAGTTGCACAGCCAGTTGCATATTTTTACGTTCATTCTGGAAGTTGGGCAAACCCAGCATCGGAACATGACGCATAATACCCTCCTGAATACTCAGCAGATCCCCATTCATGATAAAAGCTCGCACGCGAGGATGTGCCAGTATATCAATCTGTGGCACGGAATGCTGGATGAGCACATTTTTAGGTAGGCCTTGCAGCGTAGTCACATCGTGACAGGTCCATATAAAACGCTCCTTGCGTGCACCAATAAAATCAAATAGTATTTTTAATTTCTGCTCGGGCAGCTGACCGCAGGGCTGCTCGTTACCCAGCTGTATGTAGATGATGCCGTCGGCAGACTCCTCCACATAGCGTTTTACGTTCCAAATTAATTCGCGAGGTCCGCGTATATGCAGGCCACCAGCTGGCACAATTTGCGGTAGCAACGGACGTGGTGTCCAGAGGGGCACATGATTGTTAAGCAGCAATAGAGCCAAATGATGTGCCTGAAGTTCCGGTATGTTAACAGCAACTGCAAGAAATTTTAAATTAGATACATTAATCGCATATCGATCGATATTGATTAATTTTAGTACTTCCACATCTATAAAAGCAGCTAAATAAATCAAATTCAAATTCGATACAATTAATTAATTATACCGATAATTGGCTTATAAGTGAATATCGATAAGGGCTATTTTGACTGTTGCCAGATCTAAAAGAGCTTTTGCCATTCACACAATTTTTGCCGCTAATTCGAATAGGTGTGCGACTTACTTTTAAAATGCTTGCGTATTATTTTATCCTGTGCCGCGTAGTGTTCGTTGTAAAATTGTTTACGTCGCGCCATACATTCGCGTATATTGCCCAAGCGTGCCGCGAAACCCAAATCCTTTGTATATGTCTCGTAATCTATAGGCGAACAGGCGACGGGCAGCAAAGCCTCTTGCACTGCGTTCATATAGTTGCCAAAATCCGTGCTTATTATGCCAATTGTGGGCTTATTATGCTTGTAGCCAAGGGCCAGCAGCGCTTCTGTATAGAAATAATCGACAATGATTAGATCATACTCGAACTCCACACTAGACAGCTGCAGCAGCTTCAGTAAAGGAGCCTGCACCAAAAAGTGCTCTACTGCGCGAGCTCCAACCACAGCTAAAGAACTGCGAAGTTTGCTGTCGGGTAAAAGGGCCAAATCCTGCAAGCTGCCCCCTGCTGCTGCCTGCTCTTGCACTGTGGTAAAGAGAAATTGAGCATGTTAATCTACTTCCCCATGTTACTCAATATTCGCTGTTCTTACAGTTGCTCCAAAAGTCAAATTCCGGCTGCACAACGTGCTCCACAACACGCTCCAACTGCTCACTCAGGCCATGGCCGCTGTAGACAGTGACCTGCAATGGATTTGGAATAAGCTAAAAATCGCTTGATATTCCTTAAGAAGCGCCGCTTACGTTATGCTCCCTGCTGGCCAGCTCGGCAACTAAAGTGCGCATCACAGCAAAATGACTCTCGCTCGCATGTGGAAACAGAACGAGTATGTTGGCGGCACGACTGCTGTCCAGTACCAGCAGCAGGCTGAGCAGCGTTAGATGAAGCACAGTCCATGATTTCGATTGCTGTTAAAGGATTGGATTGAGCTGTATAATACTTGCATATATTTTTGCATGCCTTTGAATGGAGATCAGGTGTGTTATGGCTATCTTTTAGAAATAGGTGCGCCCTCTCTTTATTTTGTCTGCCAATGCTATAGATTCATATATTTCTTGTTCTGCTATTACTAACTTCGGTATATGCTCTGCCTTTATGCAGAGTTAACTTTAGTCTAACTAGGTTTTTTGCCTGTATTGTCCCTGATTTCTGCTGCTTCTTTCCTGTCTCTACCTGCTGTGATCTGTTAGGTCTTCATATATATAAATCTTTCACCTGTATTTCACTCAAGACTTTTACTTTTAAAATTAATTTCTTAAGCTAATTTTTGGTTTGGTTAGAACTAGATTTTTGTTAAATTAACATATATTATTTGGTGCCAAATGCTTAAATTATGTTTGGTTTACGATATAATATAAACTTGTATATATATATATATCTTAGTCTAGCAATTGTTCGGGCTATGTGTTAGGCGTCTACTGATGCTTTATATATATAGTTTTATATATGCAAAATTCCCTACTTACTGCATTTTCTAATTCAGTTCGTTTTTATGTAGTCTGTCTGGCAACAGTTCATATTTGTCTCAAACTCAAATTCTTTAACAGATCTTGAAATTCAATTATATTTGTTTTAGACACACTTTGATTGGTACACATCAGCAGCAGCAGCATCTGTACGTTTGCTTATCAATAAAATGTGTACATATATGAATTGCCGGATCTGCGCTGCTTTTACACTTTATGCACTCATAACTTACCATGGCAAACCTCATTAAATTAATTCTCTTTTGTCTTTAATCCTCTAAATTTGAACTTTCAAGAATTCTCCAAATTCTTCGTTTCACAATCCTTTTCTTTTGCCTTTTTATAATATTCCATGCAAGCGCTTTGCCTCCTCGCTTCGATTGCTCGCAGTAAATAATCTTAGAATTTCTGTGGTCATTGTAGATGTACATATGAGTAGCGCTTGCTCTTCCCCCCTCGCTCTCTCTCATTCTCTGTATCTCGCGCTCTGAATTAGGGAAACATATGTGGCACATGAGATTGTGAGCCGACATAAACAATACACATATGCATGAATATATACAATCTATATAAATGGGGTATACAATTGCACTGACTGCGGCAATTTTTTATATATTGGGGAGCCACTCGATCTCTCTCTCTCTCGCTCTTCCCAATTGACTCTCTGTTGCACGCAGCTGGAGCAATGTTTCTTTACATATAAATAATTAATTGCTGCAACTGCTTGCTAAATATATATGCTGAAGCAGCTCATTACTTTTCCTAGTCAAATTGTATTGTATTCATATTATCATTTCCAATTGGAATAGGCGTTCAGGAACTGGAAACTGGAAAATCTGTTTGGGGTTGTTGCACTCTGTGCAGCATTAAAAAATGGAAAATGTAAACATTTAACTGTTTTGTTTGGTTTTCGTGGATCACAACAATATAATTGACCGCTATTATTTTCTAATTGGAAATCAGACAGTCTGATACTGATATATTTTTATTACTGATATATTATTAAAAATTCAATGATACTATAAGCATTTGGGGTGCTTTGTTGAACTTAAGGGTTAAAGACAGAAAATGCTTGATAACAACAAAATCTAATTTAGTTTGTGTTTAATAAGGAGCCGAAAGATAAGAACAAATCTTATTGGAAGCGAATACGTGTCTGATTGGCATATGCTTCGTTAAGTTTGGTTGTTTATTTAAATAGCTAAACAACGAAAGTGCACCAACATCTTATTGGCATCACTCATCTCAGATTGGACACATGCAAGAACTGGTTTAATTCCACTCAGCAAGTGTCTCATTTTTTCTATATTTCATTTTGCTGTAAATCAAGGCAGCTTTAGAACTTCAAGACCTAAATTTGGCATTGACAAACGCATAAATATATATATAAATATGTACTCAACCAATTGACGAGCTACTGCTAAAGAACGTGACACGAATCGCAAGCAAACCACTGTGTCAGCTTCTTTGATAAATTCAAGAAAAAAAAACAGCGCAGCGAATTAAAGAAAAGGAGAAAGAATGAAAAAATTGGCGACAGTCAGCTGCGACGCAGCACTAGAAGAAGAAGCAGAAGTTAAAGATGAGGCTGTTGGTAAACCTGTTCCGCTAGAGGGAGACAGCAACCAGAAGTAAAGAAAAAACCAGTTCAATGAACCGCAGCACTCGACAAAAGCCAAAACACAAATCGAATTTCCCTAGTTTTTTGTTTTTTTTTTTTATCACAATACTTTAATTATAATGCATTACAAATTTGAGAAAGTTTGTTTTTTTTTGAGCAGAGTATTTTGCTTACAGTATAGAATTTTGTTGCTATTATTAATTATTAATTTAAATGCAAATTCTCAACTCAAACGCTGAGAAAAATCGATTGCTGCTGTACGACTGTCTACAGAACGTTCAAAGACAATATTATTGAAATTAGAAGACATTTTGTTTAAAAACCACAAACATTTATATATGAGTGTGGCATATGTATGTATATATTTTGCTTATTCTGTGGCATCAGTCTTGGAAACGGCGAAAGGCTCAGCCACTGCAATGCTGCCGCTGTTAGCGATGACCACATCCTTAACGGGGCGGTCACGTGCGTCTGTGGCGCTTGATTCGATCTTGCGCACGACATCCATGCCGGACAGAATCTTGCCAAAGACAACATGACGACCATCCAGCCAGCTGGTCTGCTTAGTGGTAATGAAGAACTGGGAACCATTGGTGTCCTTGCCAGCATTGGCCATGCTCAACCAGCCAGCGCCATAATGCTTCAGCTTGAAGTTCTCATCCTCGAAACGTTCGCCATAGATGGAACGGCCGCCAGTGCCGTCGCCCTTGGTGAAATCGCCACCCTGGATCATAAAGTCCTTGATGATGCGATGGAACTTGCTGCCTTTGTAGCTATACAAACGAAGAGTAGAATTGGCACATCAGCACAATGGGCAAATTAGTGTCAGCTCTTAAGTGGTAAACAGTTCAATTCAGTTCGCTAGCTTTTGTTAACGAATTTACAGTTAAACGCCACGTAATTGATAGCAATACACGCCGGCTCTAACCTATAAATGCAGATATTTACACACACACATTCACACATGCATATAGAAATAGTGTGTACACATATACAGCTATGTTAACTACTTGCGTGTGTGTAAGTGCATACTAACTGCTCGCATGTGTGAATGCCAACTAACTGTTTATCTTCGCTTACCCCTCTCCTTGTGGCTTTTCAGCCAGCTCCTTGAAATTCTTTACAGTCTTCTCCACTGTTTTTCCAAACAAACCGATCTCAATGCGACCCGCCGGTTCTCCGCCAATGGTGATGTCAAAGAAAACCTACGCAACAAAGACACATTCATAAAAAACACTTATTGAATATTTAAGAAAGAACAAAAACAACAATCGCGCAGTTGATTTATGTGTTTGTGTATACCAAGTGACGCAGGTACACACAATATAATTCTATATGTATGTATGTGGTTGTATGTGCCTACCTTGTCGGTCACTTTGGGTCCTTTGCTCTCATCAGCAACCACAATGCCGGTTGTAATGGCTAGCAGGCACAAAGCCAGGGAAAACTTCATTTTTATTACAGCTCTTTTTTTTCACCAAACAAAAACACGTCCGCACAATTCAGACGCTAAAAACAGACTGAGGGCGCGAACTTATGTTAGTTGACGCTTCTGCTCTGTTAGTAACAGAAACTGTTTATGCGATTGAAGAGCGACGCGAGCATTACAGTGCTGTAAAACGTCGCCCTTATATATCGATAGCAACGATGTTAAGTGTGGGCACAAAAATTAAATATTTTAAGAGGCTCTTACTTTTATTACTTTTTGTTATCAGTGGGGTCTTTGATGTTTTTTTTGACAATAGTAAACGAAGAGTATATACATACCAATGCACTTTTATTAATTATATGTGGAATTTTTGTATTGGGGGTTAAACATTAATTGAAGTTTTTTATTGTTTATTATTAACAATAGACATAAATATATATGTTTATGCTAAATTAAGCACACTTAAATGGAACTCAACTGCAAAGTGAAACAGATTTACACAGTTTTCAACATATATATGTATGTGTGCGTATATTTATATACGATTATTAACACATTTTGCGGTTTATATAATTAATAAATTAACTGTTTAATGCTTGATATACAGAGTATATCAGATATAATATATTAGGAATGTTAGAATCGAGTATGAAGGGTTTGTGTACATGTATATAGATGTATATGTATATATTTATATATGGATATCCATTGTAGTCGAGCACTAAAGCAGATACATTAAATTTAGCATAAATTATAACTGAGCTTCAGCAAATTGAAAGACCTATCACATATAGAGAGATAATTACTAAGACTAAAGCTATTTACACAAAAAATTATATATATAATAAATATAAGATACACATATATGTGTTAGCTTAATTGTACGTAAAATTGCAAATCAGGATAATCAGCTTTCCAACTTAAAAACCAATCAGGGAAAGTTTGCTATAGTTAATGTATATATATCTGAGAGTTGTGCGAAATATCAACTACAACTACATACATACATATATGTATATTATGTATATATATTTAAATATATATATATATATATATATATATATATTTGTCGCTATGGATTAAAGAACGATTCGAAACGAAGTCGTGAACAGCCAAGTTTTGGATTTGCATTGCAATTGAAGTGAGCAATTTTTTAAATTGTTGAGAAAGCGCGTTTTCCAAAAGCCCTTCCAGAAGATCAATTGTCAGACTTTAATCGCTGCTATTGATAAGAGATTCCTGTTGCTCATCGTCAGCGACTCTGCAAAGTTCAAAGTGGTGACTTAGTTAAGCATTTATATAAATAAATAGGGCAACTATTATGATATTACCTCACAATATTTGGCTTGCGGCAACCACAAATCTTTCTATATACAACTTTGAATAGTTTCATAAGCGGATCTGAATCATCGTTGCGCATTAACAAAACAACAAGCAGCACTGCCATTATCAGGCCCATCGAGCCCATCCAGTATAGCGAAGAGTAAGGCTTATGCTTGAGTAGAACATCAAATGCAATCGTCAAAGGTATTTGTAGCGACATGGTCAGCGTGCCAATTAGCGAGGAGGTGAGGAAGCAGCCCCAGAGCCATAGAGCGACAGCGAGCACTGTGCAAATAAAACCATTTAAGAAGAGCATGCCAAACTGTCCTTGGCTGGGCATCTCAAATGTTTCGATCTTTGTGAAATGCAATATAAAGAAAATGGGCCACAGCAGCAACAGGTTCCATAGGCCAACAAAACCTGTAATGCAAAGGAAATATATATTTTAAACAATTTAGAATGATGTCGACAACATAGATATCATATTTGAATATTTACCAAAGAACAACGGAATGTCCACCTTTTCCTCGGTGTCACTTTTTCGCTTGACAAACACCAAATACGAGGCATAGAAGAAAGCACTGAACAGAGCTAAGAGCACACCACGCGTCATCTTCGAGTCATGCAGATCATTCATGCTGATGACCACGACGCCGCCAATACTCATCGTGGCAGCAATTAGTTTCGTTATGGTCAGCTTATCGCCCATCGCAGAGGGAAACAGGGCAGCTAAGAATATGGTAAACAGTGTGGCTGAAGTGGATCTGCAAATTGATATGAAGTTAGTTAAAAACTCTTGCTTAATAAAGTCGTAATGAATCAACCTGATGAGCGTGATCATGGGCTCCTCATCCATATCCAAAGCGAGCTGCGAAAAGTAATTCGCAGCGAACCAGAGCAAACAGAAGAGCAATGCTGTCTTTGCTGTCTTATGATGAGTCTTTTGTCTTCTAATTCTCATGCTCGCGGCATAGGATAGTCGAGCCATCAAGGCATCCGTTGCCTCATGCGCCGACATCTCTCGCACCTCGGCCATCTTACAGAAGCGAACGCTGCGCACACTTGAATCGTCGCTCTCCGTGCCGGATACCATGCCATTTATGGGATTAGCCACACGTATGGGCACAAAAGTCGAATCCCCCTGTAAATGCAAATGGAACAAGTTAGAATACTTCAAAGACTGCAGACTTAAATGGCTAACCAAAGCAGCTTGATTGGTGTAATAGTTCTCCTCATCAGCATGCTGTTCCATCATCTGAAAAGGCGATTTTAAGTAGATTAGTGTATTCATAGGTCATCTTATAAGCTATACGAACCGCATAATTGCCATGTTGACGCTCACATGACTCCTTCCAAGGCGCTATAATGCCAATAATCAACAAATAGACGCTAAACATGGACGTCTTAAAGTAGGTGCTAAAGAATGGCTTATCATATTTATCATCCTCATAGAGAAACTGCATGAGATGGAGTTTATTTTTATATATAATTAAGGTATATATATCGAGTACATACCTTGCTTAGTTCGCTGGATGATACCCAGAGCACATTGACTAGCAACAGGATGGCCAGTCCCAGCAGCAGCTTCTGTGTGCGTCCAAGCATGTTCCTTCAGCTTAACTTATTTTAGGCTGCCTTCGCTCTAGTATCCTTATTTACCGTTAGCTAACTTTTTTGAATTATTAATTAGTTATTTACGCTTGTGCCGCCAGCTTTTTTGTTTCATTTTTGATGTTCTGCTTTGACAATTTATTTGATTTTGATTAAAGAGACATTTCTGTAATAAAGGTAATTAAGTCATTAGCACTTGGCACATTTCACTTCTTGAATTTTTCTCGGTTATTTATATGTTTAACGGCTTTAATTGAGCCACAAAATCGTAGCCAAATTTGATTAACAAGCACTTGGATCAATTAGCAGCTCGAACCACTTAACAGCTCTTTGTAGGTGGGGAAGAGGCGGCAGCATGATAATCACCATCAATAAACGAGTAGCTGACCGATAAAAAAACACCTCAATATAAAATTCCCCACGCCTGATAAGCGGCTCAGTATTAGTTTTTGTTTAGCTTTATTTAAAGCCATAACAGCTGTCAAAGTGAAGGCGTTTACTGTGGCGATTGCAATTATAGATGATATTTATAGAAATTCAACATGGAATCAATAAATGCTCAACAAGTCACTTGCTGGACAGTGTACCAAATGAACTGTACAAAGTTAAATCTTAATTTTATGCTAAATTTATGCAGTTTTTATAGTCTAGTTTTTTATTTGCTTTCCTTTACCTGTCCGATTTTTGGCCTTTTCCAAGCTGTGTTCCGCTGCAGCGGCGAGGCGTCTAGAAATACTATTTTCTACACAGCATTTGTAGCCAACTCTATAAACACTTAATTTTTATTGCTTATGCAATAGGCTCGTAATTATTTTTTAGTAATTGGAATTCTTAATTTTCAGCGTTTTTAATACTGTTGCGTACAATAACTTTGCTTACTAAAAGCGCACACACTAAAAAAACAATACAGCTGTCTCAATTATCGATTGTTAATGTGGCGGCAAATCGATAAGTATAATTCTGTGTGCCGTATGTGCTGCCAACCTGTTCTAATTTTTGTAAGCTTATCGTTAAGTAGTGCGCGAAGTTTAAATTATGTCTTAGCTAGTTTTTCGTTAAGTTGGCCGACAAATTTAGCTTTTCGTTAAGCTTCGCGCCAATATTTAAATTGCGTGTTATTTATATTAGCTGTGTAGCTGCTTGTCAATCAATAGTATTAACTTGTTTTAGCATGTAATGCAAATAAATGTTGACAAATTACTTGTCTACGCGTACAATTTAATGGTAAATTATGTTGTCACGCGCAATTGACAAGCTCTTAAGTAACTGATATACAAATATAAAGTTGTTACCTTAGATTTATGCCGAAGACAAAGACACAGCCCCCTTGGCGACAGACAGACAGACCGACAGGCCGACAGACAGACTGGCAGGCAGCCGAGAGGCGAAGAACAGTTTCACTTTCATCACTTCAAACCCGATTAAGCACCTCATTTTATGTGTTATTTATCTACTGATTGGATGATGATAAAACGCCAGCAGACGAAGGCTCCAGGCCTAGGGTGTGGCCTGTCTGCCGGTGTCTGTTCGAGGGGGTGTCCGTTTTTTTTTTATTGAGTAGGTAAAGTAGCCCCAGCGCTTGTTCGACTGCCTTTGTCTTTTGGGCGCACTTTGCCACGTCTATTAAAAGACAACAAAAATAAGCGTATAACTGCCGCATAAAAACAATACAAAGAATAATAGGGCGACATTTTTCATTCCATACCAACTACCCCGCGAGGCACACGCACACACACACCGACTATGCCCCCCACACTAGCAACCGGCAGCCCGCCCCGCCCGCGCCTCTCTTATCAGGCAGCCACTCAGTCGGCGACACCTGTCAAACTGCTTGGCGCGTATGTGCGTAGGCATAAAATAAATAAATAAAAAATCGACAGAAGGAAGATGATGATGAAGCACACACACAAAAACGCACATACACATATTTGTAAAGAGAGAGAGCGAGCTTGCACGTGTATATGGCTCAAACAGTGGGTGCGCACCAGAAGAGCAAGAAAAAAATACAGAAAAAAACGAAGGAAAATAATATTATGTCGACCCATTGAAACGAGCATGATGTAATTTTCTTTTCCGTTAAGTTTCATTTGCTTTTCCTACAAAATGAAAGTGGCCTTCCGTCATTGACAGCCAACGTGATGGGCAAAAGAAGAAGAGGAAGACACCGCCCGAGGCACGTGTCCCAGCGACTGCATTACAAAAAAATTGCTCTGAAAACAAACAGAAACCGATCAGGTGTGGTCTTCCCCACTCTAATTGCTTTGTGACAATTGCAGCGCTAAATGGTTTGCTTTTCATTTCGCTACGCTAATTGACAAGACATTTAAAATTAGCTAATTTTTGTGATAAAATTCATGTTTAAAGAATTACTATAAATCTGGCAATTAGTTTAGTTAAATTGCCAACGCATGATTTTGCTTATAGTTTGCTCTCGTTCTTCCGCATTAAATTTGCTATGCTAACAGTCTAATGAGGCAAACTGCCTGCAAAATGCAAGTGCATAAAGATCACTTTGCCTCTATTCTTGTTTCCCTCTAACAAGTTCAGTAGTAAACACAATGGCGTTTACATGAACTAAAGTCGAGGACTTTTCTTCCTATTTATGTCTCGCTCAAACGCATGTGATTTAATATGCTAAGCTGCATTGTAAGTTATCCAACTGCAAATGACTTTGGATTGACAGACAAGCATCTCTAATTAGAATAGATATGCTGCATATAATATATTTTTAAATAATATTTTTTATAAATCAAAATAGCAAAATAGCAAAATAATTATTTAAAATTCACAATGGGTTTGAAGCAAAATCAAATAACATATAAATTGAAAAAGACATAATTTTTATTATTTTTATCAAATCAATTATTACTAGGATTTGTCAAACAAAAATATATATGTTAAGAGTGTTGGAATTAGAGAGGCTATACTGTAGTTGAAATGATCACCATGCTGCTATTCCTGTCTCGCTCTGACACTTGCCAAAGGTATACACAAATCGAGACAGTAGCAAAATACTTAAGTATTTGTCATTAAAACGTTTATCTGTGAGCTGCTTAATTGCCACTCACTCCAATCGTTGACAATCTGGCAATTAATGTGTTTAAAGTTGCGCCCAAGGCCTTCAACTTTCGTGAGGTTATATGTGTGTGTGTGTGTATAAAAAGTCACAGACGCACACACACATACACACATAAATAAAGTAAAAATGACATAATTTGTGATTCAATTATGTTGAAGTTTCGGCCGCATATTACATAAGCAGATTACAGCGCTGATAACAAAGCATTAAACTCATTAGGCGCAACGCACTCAAACAAATGCCACGCACACACACCCACATATAGATATATATATAAGTATATGTATATGTATGTGTATGTGTTTCTGTGTGGGCAGAGGCCGTGCCCATTAAATGAACTTATCAATACAACAACACAACAAATGTGATCCACGCACCCTAAAAAAGGTCCTTTAAAAAATTGGGAAAAAAGAAGAGAGGAATAAAAAAATGAAAATGGGAACAAGTAAAATTCGACAATAAAGGCAAACAGCACATAAATTGAAGCAAGCCGCGCAAATATCAACAACAAGCGCTTAGCCAAGCCAGCAAGAGCGTCAAATACACTGAAACAAATACACGCACACTCATACTCACACTCACAAGTATACTGTACATAAAATACTATATCGCATATCAAGGAAAATCACAACGAATGACCGCCAAAAATTAAATGTCCCCAGCGGACAAGCAAAAAAAATCAGAACAGAACAGAAAAGAATGAAAGAAAAGAGAAGAAAGGCAAAATCAAGCAGAGCCAAAGGCAAAATCAGGAGCAGCAGCAGCAGTGGGGAAGCGCAGCGTAGCTCAGACGGGCAGCGGGACGTTTCGTTTTTGTGTGAATGGCGCTGCGAGAGTGACTCTGACGGACAGCTCAGCGACGGCGACGGCGACAGCGACAGCGAAAGAGACGTCGCAGCTGGCAGCGACGCGCAAAGCGAAATGAAAAATGATTGACTTTTATGGCGTAGCGCATATTCGGTCTTTAACATAATATTTGTCATAAAAGTGGGCGCTGTCGGCAGCTGAGGTTAAGCAGAGCCCAAAAGAGAATAAGAGAGAGAGAGAGAGAGAGCTCGACATTGTCATAAAAAATTTGCTAAATGTTGTCGCCGGCACAGAGCAAAAGCTTCCGCCAAAGCAAAAAAATATATATATTCGTATATACATATACGAAAAACATATATGTATATGCATATATGCAAAATAATTTCGAATACTCGACTATAACATACCCTGTGAAATTTGTACAAATATCTTTAATTGTGCTTTTACTTTAAATATAATAAGTTGTTTATGATTGAAGCCATTTTTTATTATCGATTACAATTCCTTTAATAAGTATCTTTTTAGCTTGCGGCTTTATCAATTTTTTTTAGTTTTCTATTTCAGTTTTTATTCAATTACCTTTTATCATACCCTGTTTGCTATACACTCTAGGGTGTATAAAAAGTTCATGCAGTTCACAAATTTATGCTGTTTGTGGGCATGCCGAAGAAAAGGGCCGAAGACACATTTCCGGTTAAAATAATAATGCTACACACACAGACACACGCGTGCAACAACAAAGGCAATAATTATGGCAAACGAGTTTGCCACGCCTAAAGCCTTACGCCCTTTTTGTCGCACCAGTTTGCCTGCTTTGACATGAGCCTTAACCTACAAAGATGTCCTCCACACACACACGCCCATACACACACGCACAAAGACACGCTGTCATATACAAGCAACAAAGCAATCGAAACTGGGCTCTCCCTCTCTCTTTCTCTCTCCACCTGCTCTGCTGTCCTGGCAGCAGCGACCATTGTTGCCCAAGTGGGTGAGTGTGTGTGTTTCGTTGTGTGTATTTGCAGGAAATTTCGTTTTATGCGCGAGACAAATCGCACCTTATTATGTGCGCGCATATGTGTGTGTATGTGTATGCATATGTGCGTGCGTCTGTTCATGTGCTGTGTGCGTTTCGACTTTTCGCCGCGCCATTATCCACACTCATGCAGGCCAAGCTATATCTATGACTTTATCACCCAACCAACACACACAGCAAAATTTACATTTTACATGTTTGTGTGTGTATGTGTGTGTGGCCAGCGAATACGCTACGTTAAGCATAAAAGTCACTGCATACTTTTCAGCTGAACTCTAGCTCAAGCTCACACAAACCGCACACATGCACATGTATGCAAATGTATGTGTGCTTGTGCATGCCTGTGAATGTTTATAGCTGCAATGACTTCATCCTTTACCTCTGCAGCAGAGCTCTGGACATGATCTTAACTCTGCTTTATGCCCTCCGTTGTATTTTCTTGTTTACTTGCACTTGAACATTAGCTGAATTTACAGTGGGTCGAGGATCAAAGACATTTAATTGGATTCATTGCTTTGCCTTGCCGAGCCAAGCTTTTTTATCAACATACACTTCATCTTATCTTATGCGCGACTATCTTGTACGTTGCCAGACAGAGCGACAGAGAGGTTAACATAATTATCTATAGCAATATTTGTGGGTCAATTCCACACGCTGCTTGCTCGCACCCCTGCGCGCACCGTCATCATCGATAAATGTTGAGCATTAGTTTAGTTTTTCGGCTCCTACTTTCCAGCAGTGCTAGCAGCAGCAGCAGCAGCATTCCAAGAGCTTCGCTGCCAAGGCAAGGCAACGGCCGACCGACCGTCCGACCACCACGCCCGCGAGAGCGACTGTCTGCCTGCCCAGCGGCAGATGTTGATTCCCTTTTGGGTTCTCCCTGCCAATCAGCCGTCCCACTGTTCTGTTCTTCCATACCACACGTTCCGCTCAGCGCTCTGCTCTGCTCAGAGCGATGCTTTGCTTACGTTTCGTTTCGTTTCATTTTCGCTTCTT